CTTCAGCAGAAGGTATTTTTTTGTTAATATGCACTAACCAACAGTGTTACACTAACTATAATCTTCCGTTATCCACGTCCAACACCTTAAAGCTATTTCTCACTTGTAATAGCCACACTGTGGATATTGTCCTTTTTTAAATTTTTTTTTTTTTTTTTTTAATAAATGGTTTTTTTTTTTTTATTTTTTTTGTTTAATTTTTTTTTTGTTTTTTTTATTTATTTATTTTTTTTTTTTTTTTTTTTTTTTTTATTTAATTTTGTTTTATTTTTTTTTTTTTTTTTTTTTTTTTTTAGTTGTTTATATACTTTTTCTATTTTTAGTTCTTTTTTTTTAACACAAATTTTTTTTTTTGTCTTTTTTTTTCCTCTATTTTTTTTTTTTTTATTTTTTTTTCTCTATTTTTATTTTTGTTATTCCTTTTTATTGTTTTTTTTTTCATTTTGTTTTTTTTTTTATATCCTAAGTTCGTTTTTTTTATTTTTAATTATTAATAATACGCTTCCATTACAATTTCAGGCACCAGCATCATCTGTATCTGCTCCACCAACAAACTCTGGGAGCACCACCCTTCACCAGCCCAGCACCAATCCTCAGCTCCCAGCAATGCTGCCATCCAAGCAACGTCTCTCCCATCACAGCCTGGCCCAGCACCAATGAGCATAGTCTGTCCCCTGCGGGACTGAGAGAGGGAGAAGGTGAGAACAACTTGGATCTTGAAGACTCCCTACCGCCGTCTACAGGTTCTGGAGTTGCTCTAACACTAGTCTCATCAGCTGCACCCAGTGCCTCTGGATCCACCCCCCCAGTTCCTTCTCAAGTCAGAGACTTTGCAGATGAAAACAACTTGGATGATGAAGATCCCCTCGTTACATCTGGAGAAGGGAGCTTTTTGCCCACCGTGCCATTGGTCTCGCAACCATCCAGTGCCCCTGATCCCCCACACACATTCGAAGCTCGAGCTCAAGTCAGAGACTTTGCAGATGAAAACAACTTGAACGACGAAGATCCTGTCACACCTTCAAGAGGCACAATTACCCCACAGACACTGCCAGTTCTACCGGTAGTACCTCCAGCATCGCTACTCACTGTGCCAAACCCTACAAGACTATCAGCAGCTGATGAAAACAACTTTGATGCTTCAACACCTCCGGGTGAAGGTAGCGCAAACCCTACGCTGCCCTTGGTCCCATCACCAACCAGTGTCTTGCATAATCTGGGGAGAGGCAGGGTTCTGTCTGAAACAGATGAAAACAACCTGGACGATGAAGATCCTCTATCTCCACTGCTGCAGTCAACCTACGCAATTCCAACCGCTTCTGCGTCTCTTGTTTCATCTCAACCAAGTTTTAAGGGCCCTAGGCCCCTGTCGACCACATCTCTACCGCCTAAAATTGAGGAAAACAACTTGGATGAGGAGCATCCTTGCTCACCATCAGCCTTGGCGGCTTCTACCTCCGCTACAGCAAGCCTACCACCCACTTTTCCACCTACTGGGAATAGTCTGACTAGTCCGTTGGAGTTCACCGTTACTCCGTCTAAGTCAAGCTTGCCTACTAACAGTCTTGATGCTGATCTTAATGCCGGTGATGAGTCAACTGAGGGGCAAGTAGGTGGTGCAAGAGGTGGAGCTAGCTCTGTGGTTGCAGGGAATCACCTCAACAAACCTACGGCACCTCCAGTTGTGGCTGAGACTGCTGGTGATCCATTTGCTGCACTCAATAATCTCGACACTTACAGCCAAAACGATGAAAACAACCTCAACGAAGTTGATGATACGTCAGCTACAGGACTCGGAGCTGTCGGTGTGCAACAGAACCCAGACAACAGTGGAACAGTGGTTACAAACAGCCTCAATCCAGAATTTTCATCTGTTGGAATTTCAAGGGTTGCCAGTGGTACGGTTGCAGCACAAGATGTCGTAGAGGAAAACAATCTTGATGAAGAAGACATGCTTGCTAGAGCTAGGGTAGCAGGTGTTGAGCCTAGTGTTCCAGTTGAGAGGATTAAAGTTGACGGAGAGAATGATTTGAATGAAGACTCGCTCACAAGTTGTACTGTGTCTAGAGCTCAGGAAAGTGGGATTAGTCACAGCAACTCTGGTAGTGGACAAGCAGCTAGATCTCTTACAACGAGCAGCAATCTTGAGTTCAGTGGTGAACAAACCGCCATTGGCGTTGCTGCTGCTGCTGCAGAAAGTAACAATCCCAGCATTGCCCGTCAACCACTTGCTAGTGATGCTACTGCCATGAACAACCTTGGCGTAGACCAACCCAGTAGCTCTCCTGCTGCCAACGATTTGAGTGTTGAAGGACCTTCCCAAGGTGTACGAACTCTACAGATGCAAAGCCCTTTGAGGCAGGGAGTCACACGGCTTCCAACATGTCAAACAATCTTGACAGCGAAGATTTCGACCAGGAAGGAGGGCTGCACAACCAACTTCCTGTGTTACATGGATCTGCAGCAGACAACTTTGGCAATGTTGTGTCTCAACGTCATGGAAGAGCAGGTGATGTTGTGGGGACTCAAGTGGAGCAGCAGAATAACCTCAGTGTACAGAATGACCTTGATGCAGACGAAGACAGCACACCAGCCAGGAGCTCTGGTCGTTCTGTGGGACGTGACGAACTCACGTTAAACGACTTGGATGAACCGGAGATCTCTCAATCGTCGCAACCAGTCAGGACACTCTCCCTGCCTTCTCGTCCCACCGCCTCTGTTCATCAACCACCAGTGGCAGGTACTACTTCGCTGCCTGCTAGTAATGCCGTGTACACTCCACCAGCAGTCAACTCGTCGTCGATCCCAAGTGACTTATCCGCTTCTGCACTTTCTTCAGTACCACCTCTTAGAGCAGGTGTTACCCCTGGAACCGCCTCCCAGTCGCCGGAAACAGGACAGCACTTGCTCACAGAGGAAAACCAGTTTGACGAGGACAAGGAAAACGATTTCTCGAGGGATGATGCTAATCAGGACGGGAAATGGCAGGTGCCACCTCTGCCGACCAGTGCCCCAATGCAGCGTCACGTGAGGTGGGCACCATCACTGGAAGAGGACGACAGGGAAGGTTCGGAGAAAGGGCATCCCCTCCCCACCTCTGCCCCCGTTGGACATTCCTCCGGAGTTCCCCTCAGAGCTAGCGTGGACTCTTCTTCCTTCACCACCACACATCCTGTGTCTGTGGCTGGAGGAGAGGTAAGTGGTAGCTTTATCACTGGACAGTGCATACGCACCACTTGTACCAAACCCAATGGGGGGGGGGGTATATACAGCCTAAGTACACAATTCTACATTGCACACTATGGCTATCGCACATTATCCCTATTCATGCATGATCTGTCCTACTATGATGTTTGTAGTATACTCTCTTGTGCTTGGCTTCACTACAGAATCTGTTTGCTCCTCGCCCAAAGTCCCCTCCCACCCGTGCCCCCTCTCCTCCCCGTCCCTCTCCTTACAACATGCTCAATATGGTCAGTCTTACTGTATAACCTGCTGCTGTTTATCCACCACCACTTCCTAGTCAGTACAGCCCCACATTGAAGTACAGAACCATAAAACCACTGTTACCGAGTCATAAATGGGACAACTGGTGACACACCCGATTCGGGAGTGATGTCTAATACCTCGTTCAGTATACACTAGGTTTTAAACCAGAGCTTCCCTCTTGGGGCAATGTTTGTCCGTGAGAATAGCTCATGTTTCTTCCATGTTAGAGTTTGAATAGAGTATTGTCTGGTTCTTTTGATGCTGTTGTATAAGACGTGTTAACCATCATGTGTAGGCGGATGACGCTATGGGTGGTCTTGGAGGCTCGGGTGGAGCGGGAGGTAGCTTTGAGGTGCTACACGACTTGGCTCAGATTTGTATGGTGGTTGCCGACAGAATTAAAGGGGTGAGGACTTACACATTACAAACCTAATAAACATCACCGTTTGTCCATAATTGGTTCATAAGCAAGGCTACGCCAAACACGTTTTTTCTACCATGATGTAACTCTTGTCACTGCTGTATGCAGCATGAGTGGCTGATCAACAAGGCCATAGAGACTGGTTACGACCATCTCACAGAGTTCTTCATCAAATACTTCCATGAGGGAATGGTAAGTTGTTTTCCACCAGTACACTTGAAATTTGCAACCAGTATGCATGCAATACCCACATTTGCGGCATGGCACCACGCTACACAATGTGGAGTAAGCCAGTGGCGATTACATGTTCCTTACCGCATGCCAACAAACACTGCATACTGTGACCAATAAAGCTGGCAATACACCCACAACCCACAAGCATAGTAACCACATGCTTCATTACACATTCTAGTATATACAAACACTGGCATATACTTTCTCCAGAGTCTCTCAATAGGAGGAAAGCTAGTCTCAGAGTTCATTGGTGGAAATCCCTCTCCCCTCAACTTCCTCCTCGCTGGAGGTTTCATCAATCAAGTGAGAGTTCCCCTTAATTAAAAACTCCTATGATCAAAGTTGGTTATGTATGATTCATTCCGTTCAGGCGAGTGTTGAAGAAGTAGCTAGGGATTTGGGTCAGCCGGAATTCATGAATGATCTAGCTGTTGCCCTGCACCAGGTCAGTCACCCCAGTTCGTACAACCTCACAGCATGTAATGTTCTCTTTGTGTGTATGCCATAGTTTCCCGGAAGTGACGGCCTGCCTTACACTGGTAAGATAATTGCACATGTGTTGTACCTAGAATGACAGTTGTACTGTGTGTTTAGTGTATTATGTGGAACTATAACGCTGGTTTCTTGTCTCTCTGGATGTTAAATGGAGTGTTAATTGCAGGTGAAGAGGTGGCCGAGGCACTCTTCAGTCAATCTTTCTCCATCGGTCATCGCTACCCCAACCCCAGCTCCCTCTGGTCTTCCTCTTCCTCCCCATTATCTTCCTTTTCCTCTCTCACTCCATTGAACACTCCTGCTTCTACCACCCAACAGCAACCTTCCTTCCCTGGCACAGGTAGAGAGCATACACATTATATGTGCTCAGGAACTACATGTGGCTATAGGGGACACAGTGTCAGTGGCGGATCTAGGATTTTGAAAGGGGGGGGGGGTCTGTCCAACAATATTTTGACTGCGCACGAGGCCGGCGACGCATGCACTCAAAATGATAAAAAAAAGGGGGGTTCTGCAGAACCCAAGGAACCCCCTGGATCCGTCACTGAGTGTTTTGCTAAGACCCGCAACCACCTCCCTTTTGTGTCCAAACCTAGTCTAGCCCGCAGACCCTCTCCTGGTCTGCACATGCATGCACAGGCACGTGGCCCCACAGAGAACAAACCTACACTTGATACACGGAGCCTTCTAACTACACGAACAAGAACACCATTAAAACACTGTGCATGGTTTGTGCAAGAATAAGAAGCACTCACACTTAGTCACTTACACACAATTCAGTAGGAGTTGTAGCTCAGTGTGTTGTAATATACACCCTGTAGGTCACCAGTTGGGTCATGGCTCGTCGTCACTTGACTACAGCAGCCCCGCTGAGCCTCCATCCCTCTCTTCCTCCTCTTCTGCAGCCTCCTTTTCTGCCCAAGGATCAGCCGGTTACCCACAACACCCCTCACCCTCATCTCCTCCCTCTGTCTCTGATTCTAAGACAGTCTACACTGGACCTAGTAGCTCGTCTGACTCAAAGAGACAGACTAGTAGTTTGGGGGTTCACCCTGGGAGCTCTCTGCCTGCAGGCCCCTGTCCTCCTCCTGATGCCAAACTCAGTGTCTTCTCCTCTACATCCTCCTGTCGCAGCCTTCTTCCAGTGGAGGCCTCCCACTTCACAGCACTGGGCAATCTCTAACAGAAGGTATATAGGCAAACTAAAGGCTTCATTGCCATATATTATGGTTGGATAAACCTTACAATTTTACATTGTTGGTACGGACATATGCATATATTATTGGCGAGCGAAGCAAGCCTGCCTAGCCTTTTTCAATGCGGGAATTTTCTATAAATATGTATATTTGTATGTGACAGGCGCTGCACATAGTGTACCAACAAAAACATGTGAAACATTAAACTGCTTGCTTCACTCGCCAAAGATGTGTTGCTTTCGTCTTGTTATACACATAGAGATGTAAACGCAAAATCAGAGTGTGTTGGTAGGACACGGTTGTGGTTGTGCATTTAGTAACCAGGACGAGTGCTAGTATGTCGGCTGTATTTCCACCAGAGAAGACATTTGACGAGGAGAGTGGTGCTCAGAATGACCTCACCACTGACGAGGAAGACTCCGGGGATTATTACCCTCGGCGGCCACCTGCTAAAGATCGTGGTACGTACATATTACGTACTTAAGTATAGTAGTAGCTGTTGGAACTTGCCAACGATAACAGGAAGGGAACTACATATGTATAATTACCATCATCCCACTTTCTGGGGAACAGCATTTAGTAGAATCATGTGACAGCCAAGGAATTCAACTGTATCTGTGCTCAGGTCCCGACTGTGGCAACCTTCTGGGAAATGAGATTGATGTAAAGCCAGTGAGTCACTCACAAGCAACGTCTTCTACTACAGCAGCAATGTCCTCCACGCCTTTTGCTCCATCACCTTACGCTCACCCTTCCTCTGCCACACTGCCTCACAATGTCACACCACTCACGCCCTCACCTCCTCACCCTGTTCACTCCATCACCCAAGTCAGTCCCCTCCCCATCCCCTCACCACCCCTCAACATTGCCATCGATGAAAGACACCCAGCCTCCCTCCCCCAACCCCTCCCTCAATCAGCTCCACTAGCTCCCTTTGCCCCTGCTTGTTCAGCCTCGTCAGGTAAAGAAGAAGAGATTGACCGACGTCTGTTGAGTCTCACTCCTAGCCCTGACCCAATACCCAATGCTCCACCAAAGAAACTGCCAACGCTAGTACTAAAGATCCAACATCCAATTAAAGCTGTTGCACCATCCAGTAGTGGGAGGGATGCCGTTTCTTCTCAAAGTAGCTCTGGATTCCAGAGCCCTAGGTCGTTATCGCCAACTCCACAGGGGCCTCCCCCAATTATGGCGGCAGCGACAAAGCCACCCAAACTAGACCCGCACCCGGATGAGGAGAGCAGCGAAGGTGGGAAACAGCATACCACCACTAAAGAAACAGGTTAAGCTCTTTCATTAGTAACTTGCTGTTGCTCTGCTGATGAGGGCTGACAAGCCCAAAAGAGATTTCTAGAGCTCCGCATCATTTCTCCGCATCTTATGGCATAATTGTTCATAGGATGCAAATCTGGCCAAATCAAGTTTGCCGAGTTTTGCAGGCTTAAGCGACCTTTCAATTACAGAATTAATTTGCTTGCTGTGAAATTTTAGTATGTGTAGTATGTGAAACAGAATTTTGTATGACTCTAGATGGAAAGTCATTACGTGGTTCAGAGATGAGAAGAACCCCAAAGACAGTATTCTCTGGCTCGCCACCCACCACTCGCTCCAGGCCGACGGCCTCGTCAAAGCTTCCCACAGACTCTGCGGCACCCACGTCTCTGCCTAGGAAGAAGACACAACCTGTGACATCGTCAAAACCAAGAGCTCCCACTTCTGCTCCAACCAGTAAGTTTCTTATACATAAGTGGAAATATTGGGGTCATATAACCTCCAAAAAGTATTGGCGAATTATTCATAGAAACCATAATCACTCTTTTCATCCTGCCTGCTTGTCACACAGTTAGCTGAGAATGAAGACCAACTCATTTGTTTTGCCTGGATGTTGCCAAGGAGGTTGAATCCGTCCGTTTTATGATGGTATCGCTTTTTGGCTCTTTGCAGAAATGTGGTAGCAGACAAACAGGCACACACGAATACTTACGAACCAAGTAATGTAACCCTTGGCATGCATGCACACTGAGGTTTAAAAACATGCTTGCATGTTCAGCAACTCAAGGAGCTGAGCCACTGTTGAACGATGCCCTTGGGAAGGGTTGATCCACCCCAAACTCCACGTAATCCTTGTTCCTTTGTAGCCCCCATAGTGTATACTCATTCAATCAGGGGGTTTGGGGGGGAGAGGTGTTGTATTATACTATGATACAGCATTCCTTGTCTCTTTATCTAGCCTTCCTAGTACATTTTTGAGGTTTGGGGATTAACATTGTAGACCATGAATATAGATGAGTAACCACAACTACTTCATTCGAAACGGCCTTTATAAGGCTGGGGTAAGCGCCAGCCTTATGGTATAGCAGTAGATTCCTAACAATTTTTGGAGGCCTGTCTTCCAGTCCAGGAGTTACTCTCCTTGGATCACCATGGAGTAGGGTTGCCTGGGCTGTCAGGCCATTTTTTTTGGCAACAAAATATTAAAACACACTAAAGAACACGAGTAGTTGAGTCACCAATGAACACTGGATAGGACAATGTTTTTGTTAGGCTTCATTTGTAGGGCATCCTGTGCACAGCGTACATTGAAGCCATGCAAAATGACAGTATATACACTGGCAGAACAAATGTTCCCTATACTGTCAATCTGTTGCAAAGATACGGTGTTTTGTTCAGAGAGTTCACATTTTTCAAATTGGTGTTACATGTATTTTTTTATTCTGAGTTTCTGGTTCTATAATGGCACGTTTTTTGGTAAAAGGTCATAGCGTTACGCTTACGCATGGTTCGTAGTGGCTGTTTTGACGCATGAACTGTATCAGAATATCGTATTGCATGGTTGTAAACAAACAAATCTCTCTTGTTTTTCAGAAACTGTTTCTCCAAAAGTGGGGTCCAAATTAGCAAAGGTCCCTTCGAAACCACCATCCTCAGCATCACCCAGAGTTACCAAGAAGACTACCTCCACACAATCCGGTAACCCTAGAGAAACAGGTCCACTGGCCATGAGGGTAAAGAAACCTCAGCCACTCACAGCCAAATCATCTTCTCACACATCAACCAAACCATCCAGCCACACTACAAAGAAGTCTTCCCCACTTCAACCTGCCCAGCTTTCTAATAAAGTCGAGCCGGTCTACTTCCCGTCACCCCACAAGCAAGCCGTCATCCACACACCCAACGAGCAAGCCATCTTCTGTCCATGCATCCAGCAAGACCAGAGTAACTAGAACTGCTGGGACAGCAGGCCCAACACAGACAGCAGTCCCCTCAGCAGCTATTCTAGCTTCAAGAGGTCTACACAAGAGTAAGACAGGGAAGATTGGTGTATCCAAATCTTCACTCCCAGATGAGGAACAACTAAGTACTGGATCAATGCCTTCCATTGCTCAGGAACAGGTCGGTGGATCTCACGCAACATCCCCTGCCAGTAGTGGGAGATACAGCGATGTAATGGTGGGAGGACCCGGCACGAGATTGGGCGACGTCATCAGTTTTCCAGACACAGTCATTCGCGACCCGGAGAAACGTGTCCATTGCTTAAAGCTCTGACCCACCGTATTCAAAAGTGGAAGATGTTTGGTCGCTATCTGGGACTGAGCGATCAGGAACTGGATGACATTGAGAAGACTAACCACTTCACGACCGAGCGCTGTTTCAAGATGCTGGTGACGTGGGGGAGGAACTCCAATGGAGGAAAGTACTCTGAGCTCGAGGCAGGCATTCACAATATCATGAGAGAAGATCTGGTTGAAGATGTGAGACCCTTACTGCCTTTGGAACAAACTGAGCACTACGGTGAGGAAGAAGAAGAGAATGTACTGAGATTTACTCGTTTCAGCGTGCAGGGTGACTCGCAAAACTTCGATAGACTCGCCAAATCTGTGACTAAGTTTCTAAGGGGTACACATGGCAACCACAAGAAAATATTGTTTCGGCTCTCACATGAAAACTGAGCTCCCCACTAGAAATCTATCTGCCTCCCCCCTCCAACTCAGACTGTGACCTGACAGTAGTTCAGGAACTCTGTTTCGCTGCACAGTGTCGTAGTGTGTCCACTGTTGATCTGGTGTTCGAAGTTGAAAGTTGATTTGTACTCACCTGTATATGTATGAATTTTGTATTGTTTATACCTTCAGTATTATTATGCACTGGCTGTATAATACATAATAGGTCTGTAATCGCTTATGACGCCGGAAGTCCAGCTGGTTAATTTCCGTCTACCACCCACGCGCGATCATAATAGCAATGCGCAGAAGCCTAGCTAGCTGGGATAAAGACCGAGACTGCGGACTGCATTATTTGTGTTAGATAATCTCCGAAGCAGGGACGATCATTATACATGGCGATCTGGGCTGCTGTCTGCGGCACTCTCCTTACTCTCCTCATCTCCTGCCACTTCGGTTGCTCCCTGTCGGGTACATTTTTACCGTTCCGTGACCTAGACCTAGACCATAGACTCCGTCACTAGCTATAGCTAAGTCCGCTAGCTGCCTAGCTAGACCTACAGCATTGTGTTGTGTGTGTACTTTTTTTCTACAGAGCCTTCCGTTTTTGTGATCAACGACGTGGCCTACCCCGCCGGCCCAGAGTTCGTGGCAGTGTACGTCGTCGGCGAATTCGACGGGTCTACGCTCAATATTGAGTGCAGATACAACTCCAGCACCTCCACAGCAAGCTGGGAGTTGGTCAGAAGTGATTACGATGGTTTCGGTGTCAACACCGGTCCTGCTCCTGTGGAGCCAGTGACATTAGTGATAGATGCTCCAGGTGCGCTGACGGAGTGGGCTGCGAACGGGACTACCCTGTCCTTCTTTGAAATTAGCCCGCAGTTGGAAGGTCTTTATCAGTGCACTGCTGCAGGAGTCAATCTTCGGATTCTGCTCACTGGCGGTATGGTCAATGCACAGAATTACACCTTGTTACTTCATATAAGACTAAGTTTTGAGTCACGAAATCTGTTGTTGGTTACCCAATGCCATAAGAAAAACAGGTTATGAACATGGGTTACGAGCTAAGAACAATGAAAATGCTGACCAGCCGATTTCGTGACTCAAAACTTAGTCTTACATGAAGAACTGACCGAATTACAACTCTAATCTGCATCCATAATTACAACACTGCATCCTCTACACTGTGTGGTCCTTTCAAACCGTAGGTCTGCACAATTGACTATTAATTGTGCTACTGTGTGGTTGCATAATTAATTCCAAAGCAGCAGCAAAATGTGCACTAAAGGCCTACATATTATTATGTGGTGCAACTTTGTTGCATGAGATAAATGTCAGGGTATGAGGGGTTCGCCTTCGACTTTGCCTGACATACTGTATGTAGTAGATGTACCCATACTTGAAGTTCATCAATCCAGCAGCACAGCTTTTGGAACATGATAGTGGCATGATTGGGCAAGGTCAAAAGGACAACAAGTTGCAGAAATAACGAAGTATTGTCTGATCTCTCTGCATACCTGACTCCCATGGGATCCATCCACTTGCCTCAAGTGGGGGTGTTAGCAAGGGTGTCAAATTCCAAACGTCTTGTATGGTAACTGTGAACCCACAACAGAGCCTACATACTCTACCCAGGGCTTTGTGTGTTGTCATAATTATTAATGTAGAGTAACCAGGAAGTCCTTCCTCTGTTGCTTGCCAGTGAGGTCAGAAGCTTCCTGTCTTGTATATACTCCTAGCTAATAATGAGCTCAGAAGCATATTTTTGGAACTTGTCGTGCTTCCTTCCTATGTCACTTCTGTGATCCTGAAGTTATATAGTATTCATTTCCTGCGTTAGTAATGGTCGTGCCTCAGTATGCAAGAATGACAGGAATGACCTATTATAATGGCTGCATGTTTAGGCGGTATGTTTGCCACAAAGGACATTTCACCGGTTACTTCAAGCTTAAGCCTATGCCCTCTCATGTTCACAAATTGTGTGCTGTTGACATGCCCATTCTCATGTTACACAAACTCGCCAAACTCTGCAAGAAGGATCGGTACCGACAACTAATGCAGTAGCCTAGCCCTTCTGTTGGCTCTTCTCACTCTGAGCTAGTAGATAATTCAACATGTCTTGTACAAAAACATTTTCGCAAACTTGCTCCTGCTCACCAATTGACATCTTTAACACATTCCCATCATCCCTAAATGTCACGTCCACTACCGCAGACAACCCCTACCTGGAGGCGACTGACGCATTCATCACAACCAGATTGGTGGACACTCTGTCCCTGCCACTGGTCAATCGCTATGCTGACCCAGAGCTGATGATGAACCTTCCTCCACCAGTGGAGAATGTAATGGTGACAGCCTTTGGCGACAGTGGCCTAAGAGAGCTTACTATACTGGCTGCCTCTGAGAGTCCCAACAATCCCTATGAAACGTATGTGTCATTGTATACAGTTGTGTAGCATGATATTCTGCAGTGTGGCTTTTGGATGGACCACCTAATCAAGCATTACCCACTCATATTCTTCCTATACAGTGGCAGCTTTTTGTGTACAACCTACGTGTATACCTTCATACTAATATGAACATGTAGCCTTACTTACAGTGGTGTAAGAGGGTTTCTCTTCTTATTGGTACATGATATAGGACATATGTCGTGGCGCGTCCTGATGATCTTGTGTTTGGGACGATTACTGTGACTGCCAGTATAGGCGGTCTGATGTCCAATGCCTCAATATTTTTCGAAGTTGTAGGTAAGGATTGTCAATGTGAACACCACCAAATTGCAGTGACAAAGCTCTCTGTCCCTCTCTCCCTTCTTTCCTTCCTCCCTCTTCAATAAAGACTTTTTTGGAGGTCTCATGAGTGTGACGGTGGTCAACGAGGGCAAGGAAGTGGTGTTCAACTGCACACCAACCAACCCTGAACTCACTGCTTCCTTCAGTGGTAACTCAGAAGTAATGGAGATCTACCAACCAAACAACAGTGTCTGGAGTTTCCCGGCTCTCCCACAGTACAGTGGATTTTATTCATGCTCGGCTCAGTTTGAGAGCTTGTTGACACAGAGTACTTTTCTGTTTGTGTATCCAAACGAAGGTAAGCAATGGTAGCAACTGCTTTCAGCACTAACACACACAGTTACTGAGGTTTGGCTCTGTATGATGTAGCTAAATATTTAGAACCCATGTAGTTGGTTTAATATAACATTTTGATTAGAGGGGTATACCCGACCAGACCTTATTTTGAACCCCTTTCCGTTTCAGAGGAGAGGGATGTTGTGTTCTACGATTTCAGGGAAGATGAGGTCCTGCCAACTCTATATGTACTCCTGAATCACGTAACAAGAGAGGGTCTGGAGTTTGTCTGTGTCGCCAGAACTGGCCCTGTCTCCATTTTCTCTGATAACGAGACTGTGAGTGTCAAATGCAATGCATGCAGTGTATCCTTATAGTGACCAAAAGCATCTTTGGTGCCTTGTACCCTAGCAATTTTCGTGAAAATATTGCAGATATGGATGGCATGAATTATGAATAAAAGCATCGCATTAGTGGCAGCTATTTTTAGAATAATGAAGGATACACCATTGCACAATTCTGCACCCAAATGTTACCATGCACTATGCAGAGGTTATGGCCACACTCGTGTGGCGTCTGTTTGTGCGATGTGTTTTACTGTGCACGCACCCAAGCTCTACTCCACTGTTTCAAAGTGTACCTTCAACACGTAACATTATCAGCAGTACATGTGATCTCTACAGCGCACAGAGTTCTATACAACAAGTGACGGCAGTGCACAGTTCACTGTAGGCGACGACACTATCATCGTCACCAGAGGAGAGAGGTTCACACAGATAGGAGTGGAAATAGGATTCCCGGCCAGCTACGGCGACAATCTCACCTGCAAATCAGACAGCTCCTCAGACACTGCAAACCTCAGAATTGTCCCAGGTATATACAGATAATTAACCATCGGTGCGCATGTGCAGTGTAGATTACAGTACTTGGTTTGCATGTTTTTCTGTCTGTCTGTTTGTCTCTCTTTCTCTGTCTGTCTATCTGTTTGTCTCTCTCTGTCTGTCTCTCTCTCTATCTGTCTGTCTATCTCTGCTTCTGGCAGATTAGTGCTCTTTTCTAGCTTCCCTAGTCTCGTTACCTCACTAAAGTCTATTCGAGTTCACCCCTGGAAATTCTTGTGTTATATACAAGGTTTTACAAATTTTTGCTGGCTCATTTGAAGTCTAATATACGTACCTCATAAGGACTACGTATTTCCCTTTCCTCGCAGCCCGTACCTTTGTTGCTGTTAACTCATCAAATGGCGAGATGTCTGCAGTTATAAACTATGGACAGAGCTTCAACATTTCCTTCATCTTTGAGACAGTGTCGCGAAATGGGCTTGAGCTGCTGCACAATGGAACCGTGATAACCCAGGACCTACAGACGGACCCAAACAACAGGCAGTCCTTCAGCTACTTAGTGGAGGGACTCTCAGATGCAGGGGGAGTTTATACCCTGCGAGCTGGTCAGGAACGTAAGTTTTAAAGTGATGCGTTTTCCACTGTATTTAGCCAGTATGATGATGAATTGCAAATCATCTCTTATTGGTATGCTCGTTCTTTTGTTGCAGCTCTTCCGAATGCAATTTTATTCTCAATGTCACTTGTAAGTTCCATCACTACGTATTTCTCTACTACAACTTATCATGCAATATACTACAGTAGAGTACACACTGGGACCATAAGTATTGTCTTTATGTAGGTGTCCTTTTTGCAGTGTCTTCTATAGAGGGGTGTTGTTTATTTGCAGTGTCCATTATGCTGCATATGAACAGTGCATAGCACAGCCTCTTTTACACTTCATAGTACCTGTGGTGACGGTGGCAGAGGGGAATGTGATTGTACAACTAGGTGAAAACTTCACCTTGAGCTGTTCCTCGTCCATACCAAACCTTCCACTGGAGTGGGTGCGTTTCCCGGGGTTTGATCGGCGGAGCGGCCCTACTTTCGCAGTGATGGGTGCTACGCCTTCCGACGAGGGAGAGTATCGTTGTTCTGTACTGGAGAATGGGGAGGTAGTCATTGCTTCGGCTACAGTCACAGTGGACGTCATTCTCAGTAAGTTTCGTTCACTTATAGACGTGTACGTAATGACTTGGAGATCTAGCAATGGAGTGAGAGAGACCCAAGGCTAACAAAGAAAGCCATCTTGTAGCATTCCTGCCCTCCTTTCTTGTGCTACATGCTACATATAGCCTGTGCATAGTATTGTGGCTTTGTAGCCTGATAGCCCTATAAGCTGTGTTGCCAGTGAACATGATGACTAAAGGAAGGTCACAATGCAACCTGCTGTAATGGTATATACACAAAACTTGCTTTTGACAAAATCATGCCAGCAAACCTAAGAGATTGTGCCATTGTGAGTATTATATCCGTAGATAATTATCATCTATGTGTTCCATGTTGAGAGTCTTGTCACATTGTTGCAGGCTGCCTCGAGCACTATGCTGGAGGGATCCTGTGGCCTGAGACTCTAGAAGGAAAGACTGCTAATGCGTCGTGTCGAGATGCAGATGCTAGGTTCAGGTGAGGAGCATGCACTTTAGCATCATGCAGCGTCAACACGAGGGAAAGGCATATGAACACGTCAACTCAGATCTTTCCCTAAGTGGGACTCGAGAGCCCATGGCACCGTGCTTTCTAGGCAGAGTAACCAGGGCAAGTTAAATGGTTCAACACCTAAATATGCAGTCACGTAAGTGGCAATGTGTGGGCAAACCTAGTTTCTGCGCCATATTATAATAGAGTTAGTTTTTTACAGAATCGATGAGCCCTCGTGTCTGTTGTGCTACACTGATTGGCCCCAATATTGACGCATGCCTTTGCGTGCATCAGGGCAGGTTTAGCTGCAACCCAGCACAGCCCTACACAAGAATGCACTTGATTTCTACTCCAGCAGTTAGCGTGTCAAGTACTCTGCCTAGAGACTGTGAGTAGTAGCTCTATTTCCTGGGTGTCGTCGGTCGTTTTGGCATGCACTTGCCTTGTGTTAACTTATGCACCCATGACACTCGCACATTAAGAAGTACTCTGTATCCTCTCTGTCTCTCTCTCTGTATGAAGTGACGGAGTCCAGGTATCACGTACCTGTGGCCCATCTGGACTCTCTGTGTCTCGTGGACTCCCTGGCTACTCCACATGGCTAGACCCTAATTTCTCTGGTTGTACTCTGGCTTCGTCTGAGCCCCAGACATTCGTGATCTTCTCCCTCTACTATCGTCTGTTTGGTGGTGCCGACGAACAGTTTGTGGTGGACAATATTGACAGCATACAGATGGAGGTACATGTACATGGGTTTTCACCATTGTATTAAGGAAACCGGTTCACATTGACCCTTAAAGTAACATGTATATATTCACCACTTGGCAATGAATTGGTTTACATACTGTAGTAATTGTTAGCCCCCTCCCCAGTGGCACTAGCAAGTTTGTGAAAACCCCTGCAAATTTCTCTTTCTCGTCATTTAATACCTATGTACATAATATACTTTACTCTCTGTCTCTGACACATTCACTTCAGCTGGATTCATATACGATGGAGCACCTCAGGCCCTTGCGTTTCTCCTCCTCTGAACTTGTCGTCGTCCCTGACAACATTACCCTGATCTCGTTTTTAGGAATTCGACTTCGCTACACCGTGAACCTCAACACCTCCTCTGTGGGAGCACTTCCCAACGGGAACTTTGATATAAACGAACTCTCGCAGATTATCCACTGTGTCAGGGACATTATGCCAGATAGAAATAGCACTAGAGCACTTAGGACTCTCTTTGAGATGGATGGCAATGGAGATACCGTTGGCTTCATGCGATCAGGTACGTTGTATAATTATGTACGTTGAATGTTATCGGTGAAGTTGCAGTCTTTCCTTGTGTACCATTCTTCCTGGATGCCCACCTTTCGCATGTATTTATTAACCCAGAGGAAGAGAAACTAATTTGATGTTATCCGATGTTATCTTAAACTCGTGAGGGTTCCGAAACTTACCAAGTTTCTCTAACTCTGGGTCAATTGACTACAAGACTACAGTATTTAGCCGTCCTATTGTTCAAGGTCATTATGTGCCATCTCATATCACTTTCATTTTCTAACACAGATGTCTGTCAGTGTGTTCCTGTAGTGGTGAACACTCTAAATATACCTGATGGTACATTTCCACCACCTTTGGAACAGCGAAAGAAGAGGGGCATACAACAGTGTGTCGATAATTTCTTCGACTTTCAAAGAATCTGCAACGGGACGACAGCCCCTCCCTGTGACTGCGTAGAGGCAGAATGTCAGGTATTGGCCACAACCAATGTTACGATAGCATCTGTTGATTGGCTAATCTATTTCCTGCACAATAGGGGGCGTTTTACTAGAACATGTTTACGTATGTCTCTTAAAGCTGTTAAGAACTTACTTCATGCATTTTGTACTTGTTCAGTGACTCTGTCTGTCCATTTCGCACCTCCAATCTGATACAGTATGACACATGCAACTGTGAACACTAAGCTTATTTAGCAAGATAAGGAGACCGTCTTAATATCCGCCGTTCTGTCCTTTTAGCATATTTTTTTCTATACCCCTACCACCTGCCTTTCAAGTGTTTGTCTTACACTACCCATCTTACCGCTCTTTATCCATTTGCCCTCTCCCGTCCACTCTCAGTGTCTGAGTCCATACGTGGGTAACGGACTATACTGTACTCTGGACAGAGACGGAGACACATTCCCCGAAGTAGTCCCACAGATGATCTGCGAGAAAGACAGAGAAATCTCCTACTGCCAGCAGGATTTGTGTCCGAATGTCCCCAACAACCCTGCCAATAATACTGCTCCCTGTACTGGATTTGGCTCATCTACTGGTATGTTAGCTCAGCACACACCATGCAATTTTTGGTTGCCAGGTATGGCAATATCAAAAGCCAGATATCCAACTGTAAATCTTGGAGGAAAATAAGAAAGAAAGTCACAGGTGATGCACGTTACAAAGCACCACAAACAGGCATCATGTAGCAAAATGTGCATCTTAAATATTCTTATACCCCTATCAAATCGTTCAAAGTTACCGTTTAGTGTGCAAGTACTGTGTTTATTCGTATTAGATGATGTGCTTCACGTTGTGTATATAGAAAGATGTGATCCAAACAGTACTTGTTGATGTGTATCCTGAACTTTGTCTGCACAGGGGTTGAATTCTGTGAATTAGAGACGGATGTTGTCTGGGAGATAGAGTGGCCGTTCCTGGAGACTAGGAAGTCTATCACTGTTCCCTGTGGAGTCAACTTCACAGGTCAGTTAAACGTGCCACACTCACTATAATAGTCAATACACTGGAACTACCCGAGGACACCTCTGACCTCCAGCTGCATATGAGTATGGGTGCAATACGACTCATGTGAGTCTCCAGTGCGCCGAGGGTTTGCACTTGGGTGCTTTTCATTGAAATCAGTGGAACAACTCTTGAATGAGGACAACTCACTTATACAGACAATTCCTTCGGTCCCATTGGTTCATGGTTTTATAGCACATCAAACACAATGTCCAGACAGGTGTTTATGCAAATGAAATACCTTGACCCTTAGCTACCACTATTTGTTACGGAACATTGTCAGAACATCCTGGTCGGTGTGTAGTGGACGACAGTCTACTCACCATTGCCATACTTGGCATCGATATGCATGCATAAGAATGCAGTGCAAAGTCCTGATCTCATTGTCAACCGAATGTGTATGTGTATACAAGTGAGGTATGTCAAGTGTGAAGGAAACCTTTAGGATAGCGCTTCTGCCCCTCTTGGGCTACCCAACAACTTCCCACGGTGTAAATTTGCATATCTCACACTATCACATCGGGCATCCCTGGGTACTGCCACATGTATATACATTCGACCTTGAATGGCTCACTCCATTTCACACTAGTGTCCTGAAGTGTCTACATCTGGTCCTGACTAAATGATTGTCTGTGTACCGTAGGTAACTCTACTCGAGAGTGTGGCAGTGGTGGAGTGTGGGGAGATCCCTGATGTGTCCATGTGCTCAAATAGAGTATTCAACAGTGTACAAGTCGAGGTAAGTTTGTCTCCATGTGGTGAATTAACCAGACATGCCTAGCAAAAAACACATCATGCTCTCTCACTAGACATTTGCAGACTTTCTTTGACATAGCACATTAAAAATACTTTGCAATGAAAGCCACATCTACCTGGAAAAAGTAAACGTCTGTTTATCACGATATCAAACACTATCCATGTGTGTAGCTACATACAGTTTATCCTAACGTCTACCCCAAAGATTGCATTGCTGCTGGGAGAAGAAGACATCGATGGAGCTCTTGAGGCATTTGAAGGACTGGTCAACGCCACGGCTGAACCTCTGTTCCCCAGTAACGTCAACACCGCCATTGAGGATGTAGATGAACTCTTGACCCTCCTGGAGGACGAAGCTGCCTTTGATGATGCCCAAAATGTGAGAGAGAAGAATTTTGCCAGAATTTTGCTGGTTTAATCAATGACAGTTTAATGCATACCTAGAAGGTGTATATATGTACATAATTTAATTACCACTGCCCATCTGTACTAGCATAAATCAATTCAAGTTTAATGGGTATGTGATAGCTAGTACATGATAGTAAGGTGTATAGAGCCCAGTAAAACAATGCACGTTTTAGTAACGGTTCCAAATTTACTGCCACACTCCCTTTAATTGTTTTTCTGTCTGAAACCAAAGGTGGGTGCCATATTTGAAGTCCTAGACAACCTGCTCGTGGATGACAACGCGGAGAGTTTTGAGATCCTGGAAGATGTGGGGGCTGGCCAGAGGGTCCTCAACAACACAGAGCGCTACGCTCTCTACGTGGCCCAGGTCCTGGAGGACCAGGGAATGGACATTGTCATCAACAGAACCGGAGAAAATATCTGTCAGTACTGTCTGTCTATAGTTGGAGGATGGAATAGCAACACTCTCTTGCCTCTATTTTACTGTCCCTTCATCCCCACTCGCCCCCCCTCCCAATAAGGGTTTGAACAGTTTTGCATTTTTTGCCCTAACGGGAGGCAATGAAATGACAAACCGACCATCCAAAATGCATTGACTATAGTTGGAGATTGGAATAGTATTCTCCCCTCTGTTTTACTGTCCCTTTACCCCCACTCAGCCCCGTACCCCACCAGCTCACAATAAGCAAGCGAACGCGAGTGCAAAACATCAGTCATAATAATTATTTTAACATGCTACAGTATGGTGACAGCGTTGGATAGATACGTATAAACTTCAGACGACTATGTAGGTATATACTTGTGCTCACTTACGTAGCTCACCAACATCTTGGGTGAAAGTGAGAGAAGGCGAAAGAGGGGAAAACATGAAAGTTTACACTCAGTGGAGGTCAACTTAAAAAAATTTTTCTGGGTTTCTATATATGTTGCACACATCCCAGCTCTAAGTTTACATACCGTCTTCTTTACTTGACCCTATGCTTCAACTGCTCTTACCCTCATGGCTTTTACCCCACTGCCCCCTCTAGTTCTGCGGGCCCAGAGTCTGTCGGTGAATAATCTGAATGAAGACTATGTGTTCCCTGAACTGGGTGAAGTTACTGGTCTTGCTGTCACCAACGGGAGCTCAGCCTCCATCCTCCTGCCACAAGAACTGCTCTCCAGTAGAGGAATGGGTAAGTATATACTGGACTTCTATAAGCTACAGGCACTTCCCGGGCAGTATCCCCCCACAGAAAGTGGTAGTCTCGTACGCAGCAGCTCCACCCACATGGGAAAGGAGCGTCTGGGAGCTATTGACGCAAAACCTGGTCCACTAAAAAAGTGGAGTAATGCACACGAACGGAGGCACGCAAATTTGTGTTATTGTCAGAACGAATCACTTACAGAAGATATTTATGGTGGTACATTGAGCGTCATATATAAACACAGAGGCACATAGAACCCCAAGATCCACACGAAGGTTATGGTTCAAGCATCTTTTGCAACTGAACACCCGACACCCATTAACCTAAGCTGCCCAAATAACCGATGGTCTCCCTTACATACAGTAAAACAAGCTGCACACCCAGAGAGCTGCCAAGTTTGTGCACGTGTGCATAATTCAACGAACAAATTTTTGCACTTTACTGAAATTGTGCAAATGCACAGGGAATTATAGTAATACAGAAGCTTATATGCATGTGCTGCATACACAGACTTGGCAACTCTACAACAAACACTCTAGTGTTGATACGTAGGTTTTGTTTTCCCCCTGTCAAATCCCTGAATTGTGGTGCAGGTGGAAATGTGGGTGTGGCCTCAATTCTCTTCCGGAATCTTCAGTCGTTCCTCCCCAATGACACGTACGTATGTAGACAACCGCTGAGTCATCCTCACTCTCCCCTCTCTCCCTTTCTATCACACTTATCGTCTATTGTGGTCTCTCCGCTTTCATATAAGTATTATCACACTGACCTGTGATCACTCCCCTTCATTAACACTCATCCATAAGTATTAATCCTTAAGTATTATCATATCTCTTGTGATCACTCCCTTTCATTACCTATTAATTGTCACACTAACCAACACCCCCCTCCCTCTCTCTCCCTAGTGAGGTGACTCATCCCAGGAGTCTGGTCATCTCCAGTCAGGTGTCTCAGAGAGGAGGCAACGGGGAAGCTGTCGAAGCTCTACTCGATAACCCTGTCACGATTACCTTCTCTTTTGAAGCAGTATGCTCACATAACTGTTTCACGAATGCTGAATTAAATTGGAATGTGCAGCAGTTATAATCTCCATTAATTTGGCCCGTGTTATATAAGCACGCGACTGCCTAGCTAATGTAGGCTAAGGAAAGTTTCGTGTGTATAAATGACCTAACTATCTACATACGCAAGTGAGCTTGGTATTTGAGTGTGCTTTGTGAAATAACAGTCTACTTAAGTGGCTATGTTCTGTACAACATTGTGGTTACGGTGGTGTGCTGAATTTGGTGTGAAAGGCTCAATGATTTGCCCCTTCAGCGAGAGGGTGAAGAGATATCGTTTGATGAGATTCGCTGCGTGTTCTGGGACTTTGGAGGCAACTCTGCCACGTGAGTCTCCACCCACTACATTACACTCCCCCTCACACCATCTCTGTGTTACGGATATTATACGTATACCATATGTATGTACCATGGAATTGGATCATTTTCTGCATACTTGGTATTCCTGAACACATGATACTTGCATCTACAGCTCATAATAATAATTATGGTACAGCACCAAATTGAGTATTATACATCATTTTTACAGTGTCCAACTTGTGAAAAGGTGTAGGTGCGATATTATTTTTCCACGAAAATACAGTTTGTGCGATTTTTTAGGACACCTTCTCTCTCTCTCTGTGTGTGTGTGTCTGTAGGAAGACGGGATCAGAGAGTGTGCGGTGGTCGTCTGAGGGATTGAGGACAGAGAGTGTGACTAGAGATGGAGACACTGTCACTGTCACCTGCTCCAGTAACCATCTCACCAGCTTTGCCGTCCTCGTTGATGTGGGAGGAGCTCGGGTATGTTAACTCGTGAGCTGTAGCGTAGCAGGTCCCTTTGTGCGTTTGCTTTGCCTTTGCCTTTTGCCTTGTGACCTCACGTAGCTTTTAATAGTCAGAAAGTGAGATAATGGTTGCTAGCTATTATAATGTCAGGTGTACTTGGCTTCGCTCTTCCTTCTCAATGAGGCCACTCAGTGCCTAGTATCAGTGGTAGAGAGCACCGCTCTCCCAAACGAGGAATCTTCTTTTGGTTTGAGACTTTGGTTGTGATCGCTGTTTTTCTTTTACAGATTGAGAGTGAGGCCCTGCGTATTGTGTCCTACATTGGACTTGCCATCTCCCTTGCCTGTCTGCTGCTCACTATCATCTTCTTCATCAGTTTCGGGTCAGTACCTAGCTGCCACCATGCTAGAGACTCTATAGTCAAAGCCATTTATTGCTTGACTGCCTGTCTGTGTGTGTATGTGTGCTCTACAGTAAGAAGCTGTTTGCGGCCGTCCACAATTTTGTCCACCTCAATCTGGCCATTGCTCTCTTTTGTGGTTACCTCGTGTTTGCCGTCGGTGTTGAGCTGGCCAACCATGAAAAGGTTCATACTTCTATTAATGTTTTATCACCTTGATTTTTAGCCACGACTAAGTTGCATACATAATTATACCACACACTGAGCAACATACACTGCACCATTATAGCTACTTCAGTGTTTTTGTAGTCCACTCAAGACGCATTGGTCTCCTGCTACTATCGTAATTGTGAAAATCCAATTTGGTTGCAGATTCCGTGCAATGTGGTGACAGCTCTGGTCCAGTACTTCCTGCTGTCAGCCTTCTGTTGGATGATGTGTGAGGGGATCATGCTCTACCTCATGTTGGTGGTGGTGTTCAGCACTCTCTCCAAGAAATGGTGGTTCTTCTTCCTACTTGGCTGGGGTCAGTCTCTCTCTCCTTCAAACACACTGCTACCGTGACTCATTAAGTTGTTGTTGGTGATGACCTCCCTGTATTGTTTTGCTGCAGGTATTCCACTGATCTTTGTGGTGATAGGTCTGGGAGCTGTCCACGAGGAGTATGGAGTGAAGGATAGCTCCTCCGACTCTGATGACTACTACAAATAGTATGGACTTGAATTCTACAGAATTCCCTTAGATTTAGCACTATGGTGCTGCATGTGCCACTTTAGTACTGTGGGTATTAGTGGAGTCGCCCTTGCACTGTTATGTTGCGTGGAACCACATCATTGTTAAACCTTTCTATTTTTCCAGCTGTTGGTTGTCTTCTGGTAAAGGGACGTACGCCATTTGGACCTTTGTTGCTCCCATGCTGGCAATCATCATTGTGAGCCCCTCTCATCATGAGCACGGGATTAAGCTGTTATAAACTGTGTGTTTCTTGTACGTAGATCAACACAGTATTCCTGATACTGGTACTGGGCAGTATCGTAAGGAGCAGAGCTAATCGCCAGAAGGAAGTTGAGAGTGGCTACAAAGTGGACGTTGTTGTGTAAGAACCCATGTACCACTCCCCCTATACTTCGTTGCAGATGGCTTTTCGTTTCAATTTAAGAGTTGTATATGAAGGTTTTGTTAGCAAACATATGTGGGCAGGGGTTTGACAATTTGTGCGTGCTGAGATGTTTTCTTCATGAAAATTATCATTCTCAACCACTAATAATGCTTCTCACTTTCATCCACTGTAAAATACACAGAGCTTTATTGCTTGTGTAATATTTTGTGTGTGTATGACAGCACTGTGGTGAAGGCGTCGGTGATCCTGCTCCCTCTACTGGGGCTGACGTGGGTGTTTGGACTGTTTGCTGTCAATGAGAACACTGTAGTCTTTGCCTGGCTCTTCACCATCTTCAACTCTCTCCAGGTGACGACAGAGGCTCATTTTTAGTGCCTCTTGATCTGTCTTACTGCTCTACTCTCTCAAGTTGCATGTGATTATTTTCCCTTCACTCCAGGGTCTCTTCATCTTCATCTTCCACGTCATAAGAAATGACAGGGTATGGAATTCTGTCAATACCACTACAATATTATATCTTTCACTAGTGATTGATTTTCCCTATGTGACATTTTGTTTTTTTCTCTGTGCAGGTGTGGGGCCTGGTAAAGAAGAGATATGCAGCCTACAGCACCTCCAGAGCAAGCAAGGTGAGTTTGTTAACTGTCTGCAATGTGTCCCTATATCTCTCCTCCTCTGGTTCTCTGTTTCCTCACACAGAGCACTGGATCTACAGGAATCAAGTCTAATAAATATCATTCAGGTAACATGATTTTTCAGTTGATCTTTGCTTGTCTGAACCCATCTGTCAGTCACTATTAATTTATGACTCCATACACATAATTATAGGAAGTGATGTCATTGGCTAAACATAAACAGTGCAGCTTGTGCATGTACACACCTTTTTATAGACTGAAAGGTTCGCTAATAGGAATCTCTATTAAAAGGCCATCGAGCATGACGCAAATCCTTAGACATCCACTGATTCACATGTCTGAACACATTTTTAACTGTTATATAGCCTCACTAAACTGGTGGGATAAGCAAGGGTTCTGTGTACATGGTTTGTGCCTGTGCAGGTGCCCCTTCCATTACCTAAGATAATTGCGTTTCTTTTTCCTATTATAGTGGCCAGTAGTTCTACAGGAGGGTTGGAGATGAAGAGTTATGTGGACGCAGATGCTAGTGAAATCAAGACTGATCTAGGTGGTGGTAAGGAACCAACCAAGGAAGAAGTGGCATAGAGAAAACTCCTGAGACTCACTAGTAAAAATAGTAATGTATGTATATACACACCATCCAATGCTATCATTTTCATTTTTAAATGTAATTTGGGTTCGTGTTTTAATCACATTGTGGCAACTGTAGGGTGTCAGATTGTGTGTGTTACCTACACGATATCATAACTATTATGTGGATGTGAAAAAATCACCAAAGAAGCTGACAAAAGCAAATCCACGTAAAACAAATAGTGTTAATGAGTGTATATATACTCGCATCATTCGTCTGAGTTGCAGGATTTTTTGTCTCAAAAATAATAGTATAATAACACGAATTCATTGTGATCTTCGTGACACTGGAATTTACCTCCTCTGCTATAATCCTTATGGAAGGTTCTATAGACATCTTTATAATACCTTGCACAAATTTAGCATCCCTCCCTATGGTCAACAATCAATTTGCATTTTTTATAGGCACGTGAGTGGATGAAGAGACAAACTAACTATCCTTAATACTTTGACTACAGTTGGGGTATGGAACAGTGACATCCTCTATCTCGCTGCACCTATCCCTATCTCGCCCAAATTTCACGTCCCCTCCTAATAATGTGGTTAACTTTTTTGTTAGCACACGAGTAGACGAAGAGACAAACTTAATACTTTGAGTACAGTTTCAGTGGAACAGTAACGTCTACGTATCTCACTCAACGATTTTTTTTTTTTGTGTTTTTTTGTTGGCACGTAAGTGGACGAAGACATTAACATAACTGTAGAAACTTCCAATACTCAATGCCAGTACCAGCGATCAGGAGTCCTCTGTGGCAGCTGTCGTGAAGGCCTCAGCATGATCCTGGGATCCTCGGAGTGTAGGCTCTGCTCCAATGTCTATCTTGCATTCATCGGCATCTTTATCCTGATGGGTGTGGCTTTAGTTATATTGCTGACTTTTCTAGACATGACAGTGTCAGTCGGGACTCTGAATGGACTCATTCTCTTTGCCAACATCTTGCAAAGCAACAGAACCACATTTCTACCACAAACTACCTCCAAGTCTAATGCCCTCGTTGCATTCCTGAGTGCCTTCATAGCATGGCTGAACCTGGACCTAGGCATTCCTGTGTGTTTTTTTGACGGGCTGACAACCTACTTAAAAACATGGCTGCAGTTTGTGTTTCCTCTCTACATTCTGGCTTTGGTCGGTGCCATAATCGCTGCCAGCAACTACTCTACACGAGTGACTCAACTCCTTGGCACAAATGCCGTCTCAGTTATGGCCACTCTAATCCTTCTGTCCTACACCAAGATCTTAAGAATCATCATCATCGTTTTCAATTCCAATACACTTACTGGGTCACAGGGTTACCATAGTACGGTCTGGGTGGCTGATGCTAATGTCAAGTACTTTGAACCGAAACATGCTGTTCTCTTCTTCATAACATTGCTAGTTCTCCTACTAGGGATACCCTATACCATTGCCCTAACCGCTGCTCCCTGGATTCAAAGGTCCAAGTTCAGCTGGCTTTCTTCCCTGTACAACAAGTTCAAGCCTCTATTTGATGCATACATGGGTCCATACAAAGACAAGTATCGCTACTGGACGGGAATGCTGCTGGTAGCGAGAGTGTTTCTAGTAGTCCTGTTCTCCAGTGTTAGTAGTGTCAAAACTAGCGCAGTGGCTGGTCCTCGACTAAATATCTTTTTTCTCACCCTTTCATCATGTGCACTGCTTGCTCTCACTGCAGTCCTTAAACCGTACAAAAACAAGCTGCTTAATGGACTAGAGATATTCCACCTCACAATTCTCTTTCTTTTATCATCCTCATATCTCTATGTCTCAGGTATTGGTGCTGGAATCAAGTCACGAGCCTACATCTACATAGTCCTTGTAGGGACTTGCTTTCTTGTGTTCCTGGGAATCTGTGTGGGTCACATCTGGTCCAGGGGTTGGGGAATATGGACTAAGCCGACACCGCCAGAGAGAGAGGAAGAGGAGGAGCGACGGCCTCAGTGGCAGAGAGCCAGGGTCAGACCTGAGGATGAGGAGAGGGAAGAGGTCACGATGTTTACCAACACTGGAGCCATCAATGCCACCTCGGATGGAGAACGAAGGCACTCCTCCGTCTTCAGAGAATCCATTCTGGAGCTGGCTAGTTTAAACTACATACCATACACCTCAAACTGATGAACCCCTTTTAGACACTTTATAGACTATAGGTTACGTACATGGTGTGTGCGTGTGTGTGTGTGTGTATTATTCTGCTGCCATCACTATTATATCATCAATGACTGCTGTAGCTATTTGTAAGCTTTCTTTATGGTGTTGGGGTTGCACTAGCCACTATACTGGTGTCACAGTTGTTTCTGTGTCTCTTCAATTCTCCAACTGTTGTTGGATAGGCTCGAACCCAGATTCTCCATGATTTCCAGCGCATGCGCGGACATTATTCGTCCTCTATAGGGTGGTAAACTTTCACATACGGCTCAGTTCAATATTCCGTGGCAGAAGCAAAACATGGCGCGAAAGACAAGTGGAGTTTCCATGTTCTCAGCACTGCTTCTCTTGGAACTGCGTTTCTCACTCGCTCAATTCGCTGGGTGTCCGATGATATCCGATCCGGACACACTGTCCCAGCTCGTGGCCGATGCAATATCTCTGGAAAACGGAGATTCTTTGCAGCCATTCTCCGTCTATGTACAGAGAAACCACACAGTGTGCCTCAGCGTTGGCCGTGAGGACGGAACTTTTAGCAGTGTATCGCTGCTTGTGCAGTACGAGTGCATGCCGCCCTACCACCCAGCCTGCGCCATTGCCGGCAATTCTTCGTCCTCTGAGGATCCCTCGTTCGTAATTCAGCAGTTCGACTTCAGCTGTCAGTCCGAGAACACCGAGAACCACTGGACGCCGAAACAGTTTGGCGGGGAGACGGGCTCCCACCTGCCGTCTGCGGACTTCGACACCGCGCTCCGTGCGGACTGCTCCGCGTGCATCGAAAAGGGCGTAGCTGAGAGACAAGGATTTCTGCAACTACTGCAAATGGACCCAGTTACGCGCTGTTTGGGTGAGAGACACTTGTGCTCCATGCTAGCATTCACCTGATTCAAGCATGGTAGTAGCTAATTGTTGACTGTAGCTAGTGTGTAGCTCTATCAATCACTCTCCTGCCAGATGCGTGTACGGAATTATCAGTGCATTTTCTCCCACTGCCAGTCTTCCCTCATCTGCGATTCTGCATTACTGGTGGAAAAACAATTCCATCCTCCAAAAATTGTGCTGTACGCCTAACTATACTATAGTTCACCATGTGTTTGTTAGTTGTTACAGATCCATCATTTTCTCAAAGTAAGCATCTAAGTAGTGCAACACTCTTTGCCCTACGTGCTGGTGAGATACCCACATGCTGTGTGGTTTACTGACCACAGAATGCCCGTTGGGTGACAAACAAAAGCTATAACTGAACCGTTTCTTGGCAGCGTGCAGTGTCGGATGTGCATCTGCTGGCATGGGCCGGTGCTTTGGAGTGGCTGACACAATGTGCTGCAACTACTTTGCCAACGGAAGCTGTGTAAACCTCTGTCCTCATACAACTCAGCCCGATTCCAACTACAACTGCCGTAAGTGCCACTTGATACGCAATCAGTATTCCCTTTCAATTAGGCATCTAATATAGCTAATGCTTATCCTATGTCTTAGTGAGCAAAGCGACACAACCCTACCATAATTGTGCACTTTTCTTTTTGTAGACAAAAAATAGCTAAATAGCAAAGTAAAGCTGTTGTTGTATAAGACATTTAACAAGGTGGTAGAGTTCAAAAAGTACTTGCATGGGAAAATTTATGCTGGATCTAGATTAATGTTTAAGTTCAGGTCAGGCACGCATGGGCTAAATGAGGAACTGGGTAGGCATAGGGGGAGGGAGGGTATGAAGGAGTGCCTGTTGTGTGATGATGAGTGTGAAAGTCATGTATTGTGGGAGTGTCCAGCATATAGTAGTCTTAGGAGCAATTTCTTAGTTGCCCTGCAGGGGAAGCTTGGGGATGATGGATTTGAGCATTTCCAGTCGCTTGATAGTTTCAGGAAGCATCCTTTATATTGGGTAGTCAGCTGTGGGAGGATAAATTTGGTTCTTTGCTTGGCCTTGTTAAAGGTTTTATTTTAGATGTTTGGGAGCTAAGGAAGGTTAGGTTATACGACATAATCCCCGCGTACAACAGACCCAGTCTCAGATTGCGTCTGGGGAGCTGCAGAGTGTCGATGGTGGAAGGGGTGAGTTGAGGTGTCTGGGAGGTGAGACAGACACCTCATGTTCATATGGTGTATGTTCGTTTGTTAACGGTTCCGCCAATTGCTCTGGGTGCGTGGTCTATGGCCCTAGTGCTATGGCAGCCACCTGAGTATTATTTTTTCTTTTTGTAGACAGCACTATTATACTGAGAGCTTTCAATTACCACTGTAATTTCACACTCCCATTAACTCGCCAATATTAGGACGTCATTACACACTCACTCTAGCATGTCTCTACGTGTAACTAACATCTTTACACTCATTTTTCTTACAGAGAGAGTGGTGATAGGTTTTGAGGAGAAGGTGTATATGGCTGAGGAAGGGCAGGCTAGACTGGAACTACCGGTAGTGGTGAAAGAGGGGGAGCTAACACAGAGAGTGACCCTGATTGTTACCATTATTGACAGAACTACCACTGGTATTACTTGAAGTATAATGTAAGAACTATCTGTGCCGGCCGATAAAACTCATTAACATACGCAAATTGACCAATAATTTTGAAGGAGTTAATGTTAGACCTTTTCGAGAAAACAACTGTTTGTTTTCATTTGCTACAGCTGGGGAGGACTATCTGCTGTATAACGACAGGGTCAGACTAATCCCAAATCTTAAAGCTGGTACCAGTGGTGGAAAAGTAGTGATCGAGATAGTGGACGATGGTCTCCTTGAGGACAACGAAGAGTTTGTGGTTAACCTAGAGCTGAATCCTGGGTCTTCTGCTGCACTAGAAATCTCTAGTACCGTAGTTCTTATTATGGAAGACCTCATGGAAGACACTGGTAAATATTGACTTATAACACAGCTGGAAAATGAACTGTGAAAAGCTGTGCTCAGTGCACACTTGTGGCTAGATTGGCATTTTTAGGCAGTTGTCACTGTTGTTGGTAGCAACAAAGATTGTAAGCCGAATGCCTTAACATGTACACAGTTTGACATTGGAATGCTCCTCCAGTTTGACATTGGAATGGCCTGTTGCAATCATAGGATCTTTCATGTGGGATTTAACAGTGATATCACTTTAATCAGACAGACATGAAGTTGTTGCTTTTGTGGAATATTTTCCCATGCAGCTACTGCCTGGTCTATAGCTGCCTGCTTACATACAGTGTTCCGATGAAGTAGCGACTGTATGCAATGCTAAGCTTCCTGCTGTGTCATGTATATACATATCATCTCATTATGCATACAACACACAACATCTACCGTAGGTAGGCCTTAGACTTTCCCGCATACGCAAAGAAGCGACCCAGTTCCCATGAAGATTCCAGTGCCAAGTGTAATGTGGTTCCACTGGGGACTTAGTGCCTGGTGCTGCTGTTAGCAACAGATGTTCCCAGCAAACGCCACAGAGCTAAACTCACTGAGGCTCCAAATCCAGCCAGCATTACTCTCCATTGTTGTTGTTTGTTGACGAGCCAATGCTCCTACGCGTGTCCTACTGATCTTGTTACTGTGCACTGATGCTCAGATATGGGCAACCCCGTAATAAAAATGCGTACGTACTCGAGCCAAAGTTTCAAATTTGTTCCAAATATGTAGCTACAGCAGTACTAAATTTGATCTTAGTATGTAGCTAACTGCTTGCTTCTCTGTATTCTGCAGAGGAACCCAGCACTAATGCCACAACTCTAGCTTCAACAGCTCCTACACTTCCTATTGAAAATGGTATATTATTCAGCACACATTATTGGTGACTTACGATAGCTTTAGAGGTTGGAAGGAGCTTGCGTAAGTTGACAGTTATCTCGTCTGCAGGGTGTGAGGCAGAGTTTGACGGAGTGTGGGGTCTCCACTGGCCAACGGCAGCTCAGAGAACCACAGCATCAGTCTCCTGTGGCTTGGAAAACAAAGGTAGACGTGAGCACATTAGTCCTGTTATATACTGAGAATTGGTTCAACCTCTATCAGTGTCTGTTAGTATTATTGTCGGTATTTGTGCAGGGATTGCTACCCGCAAGTGTCTAAAAGATGCAATATGGGCCCCAGCCAATATCACATTCTGTGAAAACCAAGCCATATCCGACATCAGGAAAATGGTACCACACATTCATTGCCAAGAAAACCACAATCACAAAGGGCCCTTTTTCTCAATACAGGCAAAGGAGCTGTTTGAACAGCCTGTCGTTCAAGTAACAGATGCACTGATGGTGCTAAGAGTGCTAACAGAGGCTGCTTCAATTATAGCGAATGCCACCAATATGTCCCAACTCCCACGAGATATTGAGACGGCCAGTGATATTGTTGCCAAGACAGTGGATCTCCTGCTAGCCAGTACGCCTGGCAGCAACAGCAGTGGGGGCATGCAACCTGTGGAAGTTGATGTGAATGAGGTATGTCTTACAGCTGATGTCCATCAGCCATGCATGGGGTCTTTCTTTCACTTTTGGCTAGCATACTGAGTTATGTCCATGCAGCAAGGCCAATAAATTATGCACCCAAATTGGTATAGTATAAGTGAGGGCTCTAGACTGCATCTTTCGTGTTGCAAACACATTAAGATGCGAGACGTATCTCCATAATTATTATTACACAACATAGGCGACTTCTAAAAAAGAAGTGGCTTCTTTTGAAGAACTACATGCACCTTGGTAACATGCTACCGCAGTTAGGGTAGACTTTACACAATGGTGCTGATTAGTTATGAAAGTATGGCTGCACAAAGGCAGGATACATTGGCCAAGGTTTTGATGAACAAGTGGCAGTTAGAATGTACACACTAATGAATGATACTTTTTTAAGATGGAGATGGTAGGTTCTCATGGTTTTCCTGTCTTGTCCCATGTCTTACACCACAGACAGAGGTGGTAGTGGAGCTCCTGAGTCTTCTGCTAACAGACAAGAACAAGATTGGGTTCTCTAGTCTCCAGGACGAGGGCTCACTTAATGGCAGCATAGCCATCCTCAATTCTGCGGAGAGATACAGTCTCTATGTGGGACAGGTTGTGGTGGAGGATGGGACAAATCCAGGACACCTGATGTATTCCCGGGACAATCTTGGTGAGCTCTGAACCTAGAACTCATATTCAATCCCTGAAGTTGGTTGGTTTGACTGTCTTTCTTCTTATTAAGCTTGGACACTCACTCCTGCTCCAGCTGTAGGTATTCAGGATGGTTGGTTGGAATGTTCTTCCCTACCCCGTGCTAAAAGTCTTAGGTTTAGGGTTATGTTTGTAGTAGCGCTGCACTCTCTTGGTTATAGAGCCTCATTTCTTGCTAAAAGTACGAAAAAGGTTTAGGCCACCCTATTTTTATGATAGATTCGCTGCTCTATTTATAGCTACAGTTACGCAGGATAATTGATTGTGTGCTTACTTTCCCCCTTACTCACATAAGATTATGTACACAGTTGCACTGCACTGCGTTCAGGAGAGGTTGTTAAACTATCCTCCCCACCCTCACTTGCTAATAGTACGAAAGGTTTGGGCCATCCTGAACTTCACTCCTGTTTGCATTGCACTCTCCAAAGTGTCAAAGTATTCAATAGTTGGTTGGACTATTGCTCCTTCCTTTTACTTGTAAAACGTACGACAAATTTAAGGCACCCTATTTTGAACATACGTAGGTTTGACAGCAAAATGTAGCGTGGGTATATACTTCTTGTGATAGGATCAAACCACCATCCTAAATACTCCAGCAATTGTCAAAGGTGTTTAAGATGGTGAGTTTTTCTGAAAAGAATAATCCTTTAATTAAGTTGTCACCAAGTGGTAGAATCAAAACTTTGTGTGATTATTACCAATTCGTTGTCTTTTGGAACTTGTTTCAGTTCTCGTGTCTGAAAGAAGGAGCAGCGAGGAACCACAACTTGGTGACAGAGCCCGTGACGTAACCTTCCCGAGAACTGACATTCTGAGAAACATTGTCAATGAACAGCAAAATCCTCCTGCTGTAATTACAATACCAGGGGCATTACTGAGGGACAACTACAAGGGTAAGCTACTCATTTGGACAGTATCCCATATTTTGGCACGACGACATCCCCTACTGTCAATCCAATGACAATAGCTAAGTCGATGTAGTGCTGCAGTAAATAGATAATGTTCAATAAGCCTAGAAAATAGCAGAGGTGGAGAGCGTGTGTCCGTCTGAGCTCATGGCGACCGCTACATCTTTACTAGGAATCCTAGTCAGCTCTGCGGTGGTGGTAGTATACTTAGACACAAAATTCGATATCAAAACTCGGTTATGAAACCAGAGTTGGCACCATTACAATGTCACTAACATGTCGTTTACTAACTAATCTTGCAGGTAATGTGAGTGTCACGAGTCTGTTCTTTCGAGACCTTCACAACCTCCTACCAACAAACTCTACGTATGTTTCGTACATCACAAGAGTCTCTCTGCATGTTATCTACGTACATGTTGACTAAAGTGCATGGCTTACAATTTTACCTCCACATGTGTTGTCTGAACGCAGCAATGGCACCGTTCCAAGGCCATTTGTCATTTCAAGTGAGATCTACGGCCCGCTTGTAGAGCCGTCTGCTCCACTTCTGTTTGAGGACACTCCAATCACCATCACTTTCACAATAGAATTGGTAAATGTTTAAAATAGCACTTTGTGTGTCTTTTACATACTACCCACATGTCTATACAGAATGATGAAAATGAAGTGCCCAAGTGTGTCTTCTGGGACTTTTCTAAAGGGTAAAACATTAAACTTTAAGTGTGCAAATAGCCATGTATTATTATTTCAACTGTGTTCTGTGGTGCAGTGTTGAGGGGAGTGGTTGGTCGTCAGAGGGACTGAGGACAGAGAGTGTGACTAAAGATGGAGACAATGTCACTGTCACCTGCTCCAGTAACCATCTCACCAGCTTTGCCGTCCTCGTTGATGTGGGAGGAGCCAAGGTAAAACAACATATTGTGAGGGTGCATACTTGCCAAAAATTAAACATGTTTACTGTAGAACCAGTGTTAAATAATTTTGTTTTTGAATGATGTTTCTCTGTATGTTGTCACTGTGACTCTAATTATTGCTACCTGCTTGAAAAACACTTGCAGATTCAATGTTGACGTTTGTACCACCCTAACATGCACACTCATACACAATGTGCAGATTGTCGACAAGTCCCTGCAGATTGTTTCCTACATTGGAATCTCAGTATCCATCGCCTGCCTCTTCCTTACCATTGTCTTCTTTGCCAGCATTGGGTATGTATGATATCACTTCCAGAGTACATTCTAGATATTTCTTTTTTACTACCAAAAATGCAATATAATAATCCTCTGCAAAATGGTTTTAATTTGTCACGTTACTTCTTTCCCACCAGCAAGAAGCTGTTTTCGACAGTGCACAACTTTATCCACCTTAATCTCTCCATTTCTCTATTTGTGGCTTATGTCATATTTGCTGTGGGCATCGAGGTAGCAACCAGCAATCAGGTGGGCATCTATGTTCACTAGCTAGCCAAAATACACATTTGGCAAACTGCACAAGGCTATATAATACCACATTTCTCTCTTTCCTGTGTACTGACTGTATGTTGCACAAGGACTTAGTAATAATACTACGGAAGGATTTACAACAGTAGACATTCAAAAGCGTTGACCTCAGTCCAACATCCTGCCATAGTTGAAGTTCCTTTGGCTAAAGTCCTGCTTGCATCATTTTTGCTAATGCTCAGTGCCTGCTAAACTCGAACTCGCTATGTCAAACTCAGCCGGTGATGTCATTCGTGCAGACTTCACCTCTTATTCTATGATCGGTTCAACAGCCTTGTGTTACATATGTATTTTCACCAAAACAGTAGCTAGAAACTCAATTTTTATTCCTGCAGTCAGCCTGCAGGGCTGTAGCAGCTCTGATCCAGTATTTTCTGCTGTCAGCCTTCTGCTGGATGATGTGTGAGGGGATCATGCTCTACCTAATGTTGGTGGTGGTGTTCAGCCGTGTTAGTGAAAAGTGGTGGTTCTTCCTCCTGCTGGGCTGGGGTAAGTGAGAGATATATCAACAGGGACACCCTGGCTGACAGAACTGGGTCTGAAGTTATACCATACAGCGTCAAATCATTTGGTGGCAAACACGAGCTTTGAACTTTTTCTTGGATTGCTAGTCCCTTTGTACATAATTATGATCCCCATTGAAGAGAAAACTCTGTTTCACGACACTTGCAAAAGGTTATCTCCCTTGCAAGTTTCCTGCCATACTATATAGTTGTGTAGGGTGTGTCACACCAGGAGCAGCTTTAACTAAATGCAGTTGGAATTATTAGTGCGTCTGACTGGATTGTACTTTGGTAGGGTGTGTACCAATTATCCTTCTATAGTGTGTGGAGTACATATGTATGCTTCTGTTAAGCTGAATGAAGTTATAAATGCGTTTAGTGTGTCTATGGAGTTAGTACTTTGGGCATATAAACTTGTCTCACTGGGACCAGTTTTAAGCTGATTAAAGTCTGTCTATAGCTCCAGGCAGTAGTATGTGGGTGTTTGACATTCTGGCAGGCTGTCTGAAGCTGGAATGCAGCATGGCAGCATTTCAAGAGTGTGCTACTGCTTACTGCTTCTGTGATCATTTTGACTTTTGACCAAAAAAGGATGGATTATAGCTTTTCTTGTGTGCCATCAAATTCATAGTGAATTTAATCAGTGTGTTGACTTTTGGTTGCCCAATTATTGTGCAGGGGTTTACTCTTTGCTTATCCAATTATTTCAGGGCTGCCACTGATCTTTGTTGTAATTGGAGTGTCATCAGTGTTGGATGAGTATGGAGTTAGGGATGACGATGGCCAACTAATTTAGTAAGAACCCAAGATAGCTAATACCTTTAGAATTAGTGAAGGTAAAGGTACTACGCTGACCTGTATGAAACCAATGTTATCCACCCATACACACTCACACACACATGCACACGCACACACACGGCGCGTGCAGGCACACACACAGTTATACGCATTCTGCATGTCAAAAAATCCATTGCACATGCACAATTAAGAGAACAGTTGTGATGTACGAGAGCAGTGTCCATCTGAAGTAGCGCTTGAGTACAGACAAACCCACATACATTATTGCATTTGTGTAGTGTTCCACACAGGCATACTTAGTAAAAGTCTGATCCAAACACTTACGGTTGCACCTCTGCAGCTAATAATGCATGCACTGTGTGGGTGAATAATAAGGTATGACTGCTAGCTGACTGATTCAGAGAGGAAAGGACTGTGCCAACTTCAAGTGATTTGAGGCGTACCGACTTCCTTTCCCTCACACAGCTGCTGGCTGTCCTCTGGGGACGGGAAACATGCCATCTGGACTTTTGTTGCACCAATGCTGGGAATCATCACCGTAAGCCTTGATCTCTCTTAGTGCTGCTGGTCCACTTTTTGTTGGTTTGTTCTCAACTTTATTAGACTTTATTGATGTGTCCATACATACACTTGACTTGGATAAGCCATACTTTGAGTTTGAAAAGTGGTGCGTATCTTGTGGTGAGATTGTGTTTGCTGTGCTCTTGGCTCAGGTTAACTCTGTGTTCCTGGTGTTGGTTCTGCGCAGTATCTACATCAGCAAGTCCAGCCAGGACTCACGCAGCAAAAAGGGCCAGAAAAACCACTCCCTTGCGAGGTAAGACACAGAGTTTTACGTCATAGACATGTGAAACAGTTAGCTATTACATGTGTAAAATTTGCAAAGGTATCTTGTGAAGGCATCCTTGATCCTGCTTCCACTACTTGGACTGACGTGGGTGTTTGGACTGTTTGCTGTCAATGAGAACACTGTAGTCTTTGCCTGGCTCTTCACCATCTTCAACTCTCTCCAGGTGAGGGCTGATCATGTGTGTGCATGTTCCACTGCATATTATTTTATTGTTACGATTCTCTTATGCAGGGAGTGTCCATCTTTGCTTTTCATGTTCTCCGAAATGACAGGGTATGACTCATTGCCACCATCATGAGATAGCTATGTTTACTATTATTATGTATACATGGTAGGTATGGGGAAAGTTTAGAAAGTCAATGACGGATCCCGATGGCTTCTTGCGATCCTTCAGCACAAGAGTGAGTGACAGATCCTCAGACACAGGAAATGATCATTGCCTTCTCTCTCTCTCTCCACATGCAGATGACCACCAGATCAAGTATGTTTGTTGGCAGCATGAGATTCTCCAGACGTAAGCAAATATACTCTACCTGTAATACACATGGTTTAAGTACAAAGATGTTATGATCTACGCATCCACTTCTGGTAGCAATACGTAGCAATGCCCTTTTTACTTGTATGTATGCTGGTTTCCCTCTCATAATTATATAGAGAGTGAGATGGAGATGCGATCTCATAGTGGTCCAACCAGTACTACCTCTGGTCCAGCCTCGCACCTTGCCATTGTCCCATCTGAAGATTTGTTTGAGCCACGAGAGGACAGTCTGAGCTGTGGTTCCAGTGGTGAACCAACTGTGGACTACACCAATGGTGACACCGAACCAAATGATGGTACACCAACTGGTTCAAATGGTTGTGACCAGAATGGTACGGCTCCGAACGAGAATATCGACGTCCCTCATGACGCCAAACTTTCCAGCGACCCAGACGGCAGTTGCAAAGGTTCAAATGATTCAGAGTTCTCATACCAACAGCTTTGTGATGACATTACCACTGCCGTCAATTGTGCTATCCGTAAATTGTCACGCAGCACATAGTGTTGAAATACGGAAAAGAACCACTGATGCGAAACCTATTCACACAACTAAATCCAGTTATATACCTATAATAATGTTTTACTGAAAATATCAACAGCAGCCATCTTTTTATACCCACATTATCGTTTTGATCATCTCATGTATGTGACAATAATTCTCACGGATGTTAAATGTCACCTTACTTTTTAGTAATACTATAAAATTGTACATGATCTCTGTCACAAAGTACAAGATATCATAAAAACATTTATAACAGCTATAAGCGATAATGTATATGTTAAAAAGTCATCGCAGTTACAATGTTACTACATTTCAGTAATCTCCTCTTTCTCTCCTCCGTCTTCAGAACCTTCTCTGGTCTTAGTACAGGGGTTAGCTATAATATCTGGACAAGTAGAACTGCCACCACTGTCTTTCTCTGGACCCCCATCCTCTGGTATAGGACCCAGGTCTTTCTTATCAATGTCAGCCCCAGTCCCAGTCTCCACCTCTGTCTCACTGAATGCCAGTGAATACTCATTGGCCAGGGAGCTAGACCCCTGGACACTCAGCTCGTACTCTGTGTGCACAACAAAGACGTATATGAAAATCGCCCGACTCCCGGATTTTGCAGAGGATATTTTCACGGGTTAATTATTGCAAATTGTAGTACGTGAAATGGGACATTGAGTAGCTAACTGGTAACTGAACCATGAACATACTACTTTTTCGGTAGCAAAAACACAAAAATATATATGCCATGGTCACCTATGTTTGCAGCACAAATTATCCATTTGATAATCTTACTTGAGTCGAGTGGTTTTTTGTGAAGAAGTGTCCTCATAGTACCGGCTGCACTCTCTGATCCAGAGTAGGAACTTGACTGAGGGGGAAAGTGCGAGAGTTTTCAAAAGAGTTCTTATTGTCCGAGGTCCGTCGATCATATGTACTTACCACATTGTACTTGAAGGAAGATTTGAGGGTGCTGTCTCTGAGACGAGACAATGTCGGGGATATCTTGCTCCACACCTGCACACGCATAGAAGACACATAGAAGTACATGTAGGATATATTTTTCACTGTGTGTGATTATGAAAACTTACTGTTTTGCTCCGGATTACATGAAAAAAGAAGATGGCAGCTCCCTGTAATGAAATACATTATTATTGTGTGTTTTTATGTATGTCGGCTGGAATAAGCTAGCTAGTAGTAAGAGCCAATAGGGAACCTGGAGTGAGTTGAAGATGGTGAAGAGCCAGGCAAAGACAGTGGCATTGCCGTTGAGTGTCAGGAGACCAAACAGCCATGTCAGCCCCAGTAGAGGCAGTAGAATTACTATTGCCTTCAAGAGTGTTCTGTAGGTGATATTTCATGATTGTTTTAGGCAAAAAATAAATGAAAACAAGGCCACCCTATATCTCTCCAGACAGACATCTATGGACGCAGTGCAATGCCAAACTGTATATACGCTGTCCTTCGAGTTGTTAAGGACACTAGGATTCATTCTCATTGAGAAATGTATGTAGATTGCTATGTAGCTGGGTTGGGACTCACGTTGCTTGCTTGATGGACTTTTTATTTTCCGTCTCTGTGAGCTTCTGTTTCTTACTGCGGAGCAATGCAGTGAGAGCTAGCACCAGGAACACTGTGTTAATCTGTGAGAAAGGTAAGTTCCAACCGTGAAAATGAAACTCGTGCCCATATTTTAGTTTTTAGTTTTGACTTACGATGATGATGATTATCATGGGTGCAACAAAAGCAAAGATTGTCCCTTTCTCTGTGGACAGCCAACAGCTGTGACAAAGACAATCATAAACACACCATTTGTAACAGAAGACAGTGGATCAAGTAATATGGTCCCAACTCACAAGGCAAGCTCTCCGTCATCACCATATACTCCATAATACTCTGCACGTGATGCCAGTCCAATTATCACAAATAACAGCGGAGTACCTGGGTAACGAGGTAATAAGATTCATCACTGTAAACTCTTACTAAGTTGGGCAGTATAAAATAGTATAACTATAATGGTGCGATAAAGTTGTGTTTGAGGTAAGGCCTGAAAAGCATTGTGACTCACCGTATCCAAGTAGCAGAAAGAACCACCACTTGTTGGAGAGTTTGCTGAAGACAACAATCAGCATGAGGTAGAGCATGATCCCCTCACACATCATCCAGCAGAAGGCTGACAGGAAGAGGTACTGCAACAGTGCTGCCACAAACCCACAACCTCCCTGCATTCATTATTGGCATTCAGACGATATTGACTAAAAGTTGTGTGGTGTTTTGTTCATACCCTGGTGCTGGTGCCCAGTTCAATTCCAAACATGAAGACCACATATCCCAGCAGTAGAGATATTGCCAGGTTGAGGTGGACAAAGTAGTGCACTGCAGAAAACAGCTTCTTCCTGCAAGAAATACAGACAAGGTCACCTGTGCTTTTTATCTGGTTGCTTGCTCTGTCAGCCTCACCCCATTGTCAGGTAGAAGACCACAGTGATGGAAAGACAGATGGTGGATATGATGCAACCAATATAGGAGACTATTTGCAGTGCTAGTCTCTCTTCTTCTGGAACATCCTGGGTTTATTTCATGTTTGAGCAAAGGGAAAGGGAAGGTTTGAACAAGTGGTTCAATCAATACCTCTAGTCCTCCAGCCACGTCCACCAATACTGCAAAACTCGTAAGGTGGGTGGAGTTACACAGAACTGTGATGACATCTCCCCTCGTTACGTTACTAATGACCTGGATCCCATCTGAGCTCCACCCACCAGCACCCACTCTGTGGAGGGAGATAAGATGTTTCTATTAGAGCCATGCATACACAAATTCTTACGGGTTAGAAAAGTTCCAGAACACTCCAACATACCGCTCAATCACAGCTGAACTCTGCAATAGAGAATATACATTCACACTCAATGCAGATTGCTTGAGTGACATTTTCACCACACATGTACCTAAGTACAATGGAAACACATATACCCTGCCTTACTTATAGCCTGTGAACTATGGACCTACTGCAGTGAAGGAGAAGTTGAGTGTGATAGGGTTGTCCCTGAACAAATCATCTGGGATCTTATCCTCACTCAGTCCAACCAGTTGAGACGACAACACCAGAGACTCCGCCCTACTGTTGCTGTATATTTGGATAGTCATAGATCTGTGGCATGTGTGAGTTGGCTTGAATGTCATACTTTAGCACTGAAGTGTTGGTAGGTAAGAACTGCTCTATGTTTCGGAAGATGATATACACCAGCAAAACCCCTACAACAAAAGACAAACACATGGCTGAATCAGAATTCCAACTAAACACTGACCAGTTTCATTGTTCTGAGCCAAGAGTCTGGCGAGAGATGTTCCTGGGATGGTGATCTGGGCCACTTCGCTAGTCTCTGACGAAGAGAAGTTCCCCAGTTGATCAGGTCGGGCTGGAAACACCACGTCTGAATCATTGGATGTCTCCACCATCTCAGCTGCCAAAACTGCCACGGATATTCACAAAACCAAAAGTTTTAATGTCAAATACGTTATTCATTCAAGTGCTGTAGTACTTTGGCAAGAGTATAGATGCAGGTGAAGAAAGCATATTCCACTTATACACAACACGTGCACAATGTGTGAGGTATACTCGCCATCATGAGCAGCCTTGATTCTGTTATGAAAGACTCACCAATGTTTTCTCTAACCAGCATCAAGGGCTCAGTGGTACTATTGACAGTGGTGGCGAGGTAGGTTCCGTATCTCTCAGCATTCTGGAGGAGAGTCTGACTCCCAGAGCCAACAGTCTGGAGCTGGGTCCAACCCTCCTGGTTACTCTCATTCAGTATGTTGTTGAACACATCCACCAACTCCTGTCAATACAAAGCTTTAATACTTGCAGGCACTGGCTAAATCTGTTTGCTGGGGCTTACCTCACTCGGAATAATATTATTATCTTCATCCACGCTGCTCTCTAGGACATTCAAGACCTTTAGAGGATGCAGGCTTATTTTTTCAAATCCATAAATTGTGTGTGAGCTCACTTGTGCTACTACATTGTTAGTAGCCTCAAGGTCAAGAGGGAGTAGTCCAGTGTCCTGTGGCGAGTCAGTAGCCATCGCCAGCTGCTCTGAGACCACTGCAACACTCTCCAACAACTCTGGAGTCACCTCTTCTATCACCTCGTCGGCACCAGGCAGACGATCTCTGGCCTATATAACAGCAAGGGAGACAAAGGGAGGTGATACAAGATTCCTAACACCGCTTACCTCTTCCACGACACGAACTATGGCTAGTGATTGACACGAGAGGACATTAACATCTCCCCATGTTCCGTTCTCATAGCATACTCTTGTTGCATTTCCTAAAGATCACAGAGTATAATACTCAGGCCAGGGTTGATACAGAGATAGAAACCTACCAAGAGCATCAACTCCTCCAGGGCAGGGTTGTGTATTGACAGTTACTGCTGCAGCATTGGGCCATATGATACCCCATACTTCATCGGGACCATATGGGCACCCTGAAAACACTATTAGTGGAGATGAGATATTGTTCGTTGGATATGTACGTATGTATGTGCATAAAATAGTTCTTTTGTGGTGTACACTAACCTGCCTCAGGTGGAACCTCAGGTTGACATGCAATTGGATCCTGGTCAGGATTAGTGATATCCGGACAAACATCCTATAGCCGATATGCATAACTTTATACACAGGCAAGGGCCACGAGAGAGAGAAGTGTGCTTGCTTACAGCAATGCAGTAGATGATTGAAGGGTCTTCCTCACACAGAGGAGAGTCCAGTGGTTCATCTGGATAGCCGTCAGAGTCAGAGTCCAAAGTGCAGCTCATTCCATCACCAACAAACGGTGTCTGACACTGTATATGTACAAATTTACTCCATATAACTGTAGGAGGAGGATATTACTACAGTCTTACACTGCATGTATCACCAACACAGTCACATGGACTGAGAGCAGCTCCACTACACAGCTGAAGTGATGTCCCAACAGTTGCTGACGAGCACACGCAAGTCTCTGTGAAAATAAAGAACAAGCACATATATAGCACAAGTGGGTACAAGACTTTGCTTTATTCCTTGGATCTTACAGTTACAACGGGCAAGGAGTTGCCATAGCTACAACGAAAACGTAGTGGCACTCTACTGAGCATTATTGTCTTTCTAATCAGTCATAAGCAGGTGGTCTCATCGGGGGTGGGGGTCCCATGCCATACTGTAGGAAGAGTAGGTGATTACAGACTTCACAGAAAGGGTAAGTGAGGATTTTAAGGGGGGGGGCGGCATGTGTCCCTGGTTCCCCCTTGTTTCTGTCTGTTATTGTCTGTTATACCTGCTACAGTGACATCCACAGAACCTCTGCCATCCTCCATGACAGAGTAGTTACTGAAGGTCGAGAAGCTCTCAGAGCTGCTCACATACGAGCTCAGCTGAGAGATGTTGCTTCTCTGGTCTTCTTCCACCAGATCCACTTGGAATGTGACAGCAACACTGGCTATGTAGACTGAACGAAGAATCACTCGTGAGTAGACCACTCCATTAGCATCCAGGATTCCCTTCATCTGAAAAACAAAGATGGCGAAAGGTGTAAAAATTTATCACGACGGGCATTTTTAGCACGCTATGGAACACGGTGGTCTCTGAAGACTTACACTATCAACAAAGTCCTGTTCCTGGTCATCAGTGTACTGGTCGGCATCAATCACAAACCAAACCAGGAGAAACGGGTCTTCTATTTCGGCTATGGTACATGAGGTCAGATCTGCCTCCTCCCACTCTCCCTGGTTATTACATCTCCTTGAGGCCTTGGGTCCAGCACGGAACATGGACCCAGCCTCACTACATGGTCGTGAGACTGTGGTGTCTTCCAGTGTCCATGGCCACTGTATACCGCTGCTCACATCAACTGCACATCTTCCTATGATATGAGAATACTAGCTATCTATCACATACTTTTTCCTAGGGTTTAGTGCTTACGTGTGATATCAAGAAAGATGGAGTCATTAGCTGCTGATTGGAGTTCATCTCTCTGACCTGCAATATTTCGAGCAATGCGTAATTTGCAGATGATTCAAAAGTAGACTTACTTGAAGCAGTAGCTGTGTATGTTCCTTCGTCAAATCGACTCACACTCGCTATAGTGTAGCAGTAATTCTGTGGAAAATTGTTATCGCAGACTGTGAAACGCAGCGTAGTCTCGTCTTGAAACATAAAGTAGATCTCCTCTGTGTCCCAACTGTTTCCGTTGCTGTCCACCGCCACCCTGAACACTAAGGTTATCGGGTTGTCTTCAATCACAGTGACAGGATCAGCAGTCACTGCCGCCACATAAGGATTTCCTGGCAAGAGACCCAGACAGGTAAGCTTTGAAAGTGAACAAAATGTTATTGTCACTGCCAACCTATTAGACATGTAGTGGAAATTTCAAGGGTGACGTTTGGTGAGATTTTAAATTGTTGGGTAAAGGTTTGAAGTGTTTGCTTTAACTAATTTTAAGTGTTTCTATACTTACTTGATGTAACGATTATCTCCACAAATTCGCTGCTCAACTCTGAATAGCACGTGTACACCCCTTCGTACCCGGGATCAAAATAGTCAAAGTACAGCCTTGCCATGTAGGCCGACAGCCTCTGTGCCCCATACCCTCGGCATCTGTGGGTATGACTCCTGTGTCGCCACCCGACTTCTGGGTTAGTGGTGGTCCAGACTGGCTCGTGGTCTCCCTGACTTGCAGAGCAGTCTACGTAGAGAGAGTCTTGTACTGGGGAACCTCTCTTGCTCTGTGGGGGTGGAAGTGTAGTGGAGGTGCCTTCTCCTTCGCTCAGTTGGTTTATGACTGTGTTGTTGAAGATCCTACTCAGGCTATAAAAGGAGTGTTCCAACTGTAACTTGTCTATAGAAAAAGACAAAAAGTCAAACAGACTCAGGTTAAGATTTATCCACAAGGACTAGTTCAGACACAATCTTTTAGTTGCACATCCTACCATCAGATTAGCACTGCTTATGAACACGCAAGTAAACTCAGACACAGCATTTTGATACCTCATACCAGATGCAATAATACTAGTAATCGCCCAAGGTGTGGAGGATTTGTTAAGATAAGTAAACTTGTGCCGTTGAGATCCCTACCATCTTGCAAGATCACAGTGATATCTGTGGAATTCACAATGAAACTGTCGTCATCTCCATCCATTAGTCCACAGTTGAAGCCAAGCTCAAAGTAGCCGACTGAGAAAGACTGGGTCACTGTGCTGATATTGAAGGTGACCATGTGTCTCAGAGATGGTGGATCAAGGAAGAAGAACTCTGGATAGTTATGAAGGAATGGGTTTTCCTCAATTTGACGTCGACGAAGGATTTGTCTGCGTAGGGAAAAATGGCTGCATACATACAAAAATAACTTCTGGTAAAAGGTAAAACAAAAGATTCCACGAACATACTTGACTAGCAAGCATGGCACCAATAATACATTTGCAGTTTCATAACACCTGTGAACCTTGTGTGTTTTACGAAATGCCTGCCTCAACGTGATGTTGGTGTTTATACCAAAGGAAAGCTAGTAGCTCACTCTAAATTCCAGAGGACAGGAGCACGAACGTCACTCGGGATACAGATGAGCGTCACAATCTGGTTTCTTGTGGCAACTACTTCTTCCTCGTACATTGCAATGTATGGAACTGTAGTGTGGGACACCGTAGACAGCAACACATAATCTTTACTAGTGGCTTACCAGTCACAACAATCTCTGTTGATAGTACGTAAACTTCTTGTGTTTCAGAGTATGTGACTGAGAGAGAAAACAGAGCATGAAAGATTTACACGAGCAAAAAGGGTTGAGTTACTAACAGGTGAGATTGTATAGCCCTCCGTTGGTACGACTGCCATACACAGAGTACACATAGTTGTTGCTTAGGGGATCCGTAGAACCACTTTCAATTAGCTCCCCTTCTGATAGTGTACTTCCTGTTGAAGTTAAAGGTGAGAATGTTAGTCCGTATGTGAATCCAGTCCCTGAATTGTTAACTCCGTTAGATGAGTAGGCATAGCGCGCCGATATGTCCACCCTGACTCCGAGTGGGATGCCATACTGGCCGAAACTAGTGAAGGCAAAGTAGGGGTCTTGAAAAGTGACTATAACCGATGCTTCTTGGTCCGTCTGTGTAGATCTGCAGCTGTAGTATCCAGCCAGGGCCCTGGAGACTGGTTTAAGAGTAAGTGACGTATCCCGTTTGTCATCAGAGTAGTAATCGATGGTGACATCATCACTATTGCCCAGGACACCACCCTCAGTTTCTCCTGACAGTCTCTTCCACTGCAGTTGGCCGTTGCCTGCTGTTCCCACACATACGAGACTGAGGTAGTCCACTCCCTCGTAGACTGAGAACGAGTTGATGACAGCATTGGGCTCCATCACTCGGTCATCGTTGAGGAGAGACACGGGATCTGGGATAGAGGAAGAGCATTAACTTCACATCATTCTAAGATGAGTGTGATACGACTGCACACATTTGTCCACCTATCCATCTTCTTATAATTTCTAACACGCACATTTTTCACAGTTAAAACACTCATGAATCAATTCTATAAAGCTGTTTGCAATCTTATTCCACTTACTCTGCACGAAAACAACAGTGGTCACCATGGGATCAATCTGGACTTCAGGCTCATCCACATTAACGAGGTCACACATGACTCTGAGTGTCCCCATGGGCAACTGCCTGTAGTACGAGGGAAACCGGAGGGTGTGGTTGAGACCTGGAGGATCAAACACAGCGTTATAACTCTGCTCCAGATCGATAAAGACTGGGAGAGTGGACCACGTGACGGGGGCACTGGGGTCTGAAGGCAGACACACTATCTCAGGTGATTCCTCGTTTACTTCATTGCCATCCACATACTGCGATACCAGTAGCTCAGTTGAGATTGTCAGAGAAGGAACTGCAGAATAGATATGAAAAAGTGTGTTACTAATTGCAACAACTAATCTTCTGTACATATAAAATATAGGAAAAGATTGGCCAGTTGTGTATTTAATGTCTTGTTTGTGAAAGAGTTACTAAAAGGCAATTTATGGCTATGCCACAGATATCTTACTTGTCACGGATATTGTTATCCGACCGCCACAGAGAAGCGGAGTGTCACTTTTGCTGCAGAGAACGTAGCCTCCATTCAGCGACGGACTAGCCCAGCTGTACTGAACACTGACAGTCAACACATTATTCACAAATGTTGGCTGCTGCAGTGGCTTGTGGAGTTCAGGTACAAACACATAGCTGGCCGTGAGCTCGTCACCACTTCCATCTTGAATAATGTTTGTTTGGAAGTACTGCAAATCAATGGCGGCTCCAATAGGGTAGGAAAATGAGGTAGTCTCTTCTTGTAGTATATTAATGAATGGTTCTGCAACGTAATTTAATGGTTCAGTAATACACATTGCAAGACACACTGCATACATATGTAGGTCAACTTATAACATGCAAACCTTGATTTCTAGTGGAGGAGTAAGTGAATTCTTCTGTACTGGTCTCTCCGTTGCTGTTCTCAGCCACAATCTTGAACCCATACAGTCTGCTTGGACCGAGTCCATCCACTACAAACATGAACACTGTGTCGGTGGCTGTAAAGTTGGCATTGATGATGGGATACTGCTTTCTAATCAGGTCAGGATCAGAGTCATCATCTGTGAAATCTCCGTACTCGACATAGTAGGTATCTGGGGTGAACTCAACACGAGATACTATCCACTGGACTATGGCAAAGTCAACACCAGTTCCATAGACTGTTGGAAGCACAGGAGTAGCAGGGTTGGATGGGCCTGTAGAATAGGGAACAGCAAGTGTTTATGGTAAAGAAAATTGTACAAAAGTGAGTCGAAGAATCTTGGTTACGTAACAACTTGGCATGGTGATGTGAGCATATCCTTACATACCACTGACAGTCACATCTTGATAGTTGGACACACCCAATGCGACTTCTTCCTCCTCATACTGATAAATCACCTCACAGTAGAAGACATACTGGCCTGGCTGGCTCCTAGTGGCTCTCAGCACACTGACTGGCTCAGTGTCGGATGTTTCAATGGTCGTCTGACTGTCTGGATTAACAGTCTCCTCTTCCTCTGCCCCTGTCTCCCTCACCCACCTGATCTGGAACGAGAGCAAACTCAGGTAGTCCTCTTCTTCTGCTCTGCAAGTCAGTTCAAATGTGTTGTATGGGGACACGTTCGGCACTCTGTCGCTCTCTGCCGTCAGAGTCACCAGTAACTCCATCACTGAAAGATAAAAGTAAACACACCATGCTAAAATTTAATGTAGCAAAGGTTATAACCTACCGTTAACAGTTACGTCATGAGAAGATGATCTAGAGTTGGAGGGCGAACCAATGAGATAGCCACTGGTGGGCTCAAAATAGATACTGCAGGTATAACTGCCAGTGTCTGTCATTAATGCAGGGCTGATGGTGAGTACTGAAGTTAGACCCAAAGGCGGGCTGATTGTAATTCGAGATGACTCGGGAAGAGGACTTCCATCGCCCACCGTCCACTCAAAAATTGGTACAACAGGTGTAGTGATGGAGCTGGGGAGAATGGATGTACATCTCAAATCCACAGCATCTCCTGCTGGCACAGTAGCTGGAACTTGCAGAATGAAGACCAGGGGAGGTGCTGGCACTGTGTAGGACAACAGGAAACACTGATATAGAAAACTCATTCAGAGCCATTGCCGCATTTTTACCAAGCCTAATCCTCTACATTCTACATGGAATTAAGAGCCAGGGTATCAATACTTACAAGTGAATGTGATGTTGGTGCCCTGCTCCAGTGTTATGGGGATACCCCCATCAATTAGAGAAGCCCGGCAGGTGTAAGGACCAGCGTGGGATGTAGTAAGACCAGTAATGTTGAGTGAAAGTGTTGCCATGTTGCTGGATATGACAACTTCTCCAATAGTCAAACCTTCTGTTGAGTTCAATGGTTCATCTATACACCAAGTACATGAGTATAACAGAGCTCCATACTGTGGGAAGTTTTGTAAACATACCGAATTCTCCAAGCCAATGAATGGTGACTGTAGGACTTATCTCTTCCAGACTAATCTCAGAGTCAACTGTCAGTGTGCACGTAGCGGTGTAGTCTCCTCCTAGTACTGGAGTCGTGGAGAATAGGGCCAGTGCAGGGTCCTGGGCTGTATGTGAGCCAATAATGGGAAACAGACACTCAATCAGCCACACAGATGGGTTAGCTATACTTGAGGAAAAAACACAATCATATCATGTGAGGTAGCTACTATATCATCAATTGATTGAATGCATGGTTCTCAATTCACCCAGTGCCCTGTACATTAGAGTGACTTGTTTCTCGGCAGAACATGTGAGCTTTGTAGAGTGAGTCTATCGACGTTGTCACGTTATCTCAGTTTAGGTGAAACACTGAACTTTCTGACAAAATACATACCAAAACTATCTGGCTTTATAAACTGACAAGACACAGTGAAAGTGCCACTCCATATAAAAATGAAAATTTCTAGGAACAGCACCACCTGCAAGCCACTCTGATTAGCATTACAACACTGAAATAATTATATTTTCAAGACATGTCAGTTACCTGAATTTTTACTGCAGCTTTATGATACATGCACAGCGGTATAATTTCCAACCAAATAGCCATACGTTTACCTAATGCCGAGCACAGATCTCCAGTGAACCCTGGAGGACAGACGCAGCAAAAATCGACGGACGCTTCGCACGGCGCTTCTCCCATTGATATTTCGTTGTACATGCAGGTGGCTCCGTTCTGGCACGGGCAGGCGGGCGAAGAACTGTTGTCGCTATCTCTGGTAAGCCTGAGCGAGGGAATGTCGCATTTGTCTCCTTCGAAGCCGTCCAGACAGACACATTCGCTGCCGTCGCCGGGGTTCCGCGGGTCACAGAATCCCCACACGCAGTCCGCATCGTCGCACGTCCGGCAGACTCGTACGACAAGCAGCAGAACAACTAATGAAGTTGCAAAATGCCGCATCTTCAGAGATCCCCACGACTGTGTGGCAGTCGGTTCGGTTATGTTGCCCAGCTATAGGTACGCATGCGCACATGTCCCATCGCGCGCAATAAATCAGCGCGCACGCCGTTTTGGGTCACCCGTGCCTTGCCAGAATGCCTAAAAAAATCACTGGCCATTCCCATAGGGTTTTAATTCTCTTTTCAAACACATTGAGACTAATAATTGGCATACTTATTCTGGTTTCACACTGGGATCCAGTGTAGTCAGAAGGACAGATGCATACAAAGTCATCCAAGCACTCTCCCCCATTGCTACACACCAGATCTCCACACAACACTCCCTCTGCAATTACACATAAAAACACATAACCAGGTGTATAATTATTAAAAATTACTGAGGTTTTGTTAACATTTACACAAACCTTGTTCATCCAGAAACGTGACAGTGGCTATATCACCAGCCACAGTAAACTGTGTGTCTTGAGCCTGCACACTCAGAAGAGCTGAACGGTCGCCATGTGGAGTAGGGTCGTTAATAACACTGATTGTGGAGCAACTCTGATATGACTCCTCATTAAAAGTATATGGGGTAGTGGGCAAATTGAAAGCAACTCCATCTAAAGGAGATAATCCACAAGGTTAAAGCTGTATTGTCTATGGTGGGTACATACCTAATGGTTCGTCCGACACCTCTACAATGTTGATTTCAATGCTGACACCAGAAGCTATTTCAGCACTGTCAAACACTTCTAGACATATTTGCAGACTTTCTGCACTCTCGGTTACTGTGTAAGATGTGCTCCCAAATCTCAGCTCTAAAACTGCAGAAAACAAACCAGTTTGTGTTTATGTGTCACATTAAGATTGCAGTAGCTAACTGGTGCTGTCGGTAATCAAAATTTCAGCTTCAATTTGGTTTTGTCCCGAGTTTGAATTGAGAATGATGTTGGGATCGTTGCTGCTGAAGACCAGATAGAAGCTCTCGGTTCCTTCGACTAGTAAGTCTTCGAGCAGTGTTCCATTTGTACAAACAGTCGTATGCTCAGCTTTCAGTGTTACAAAGAAGACTGAGGACGTGAAGTCTACATCCACTGCAAATCATTAAAACACAGCATGAAGGTAAACACTAAGCATCGTAGAGGAAGGCTCATACAATAAACCAACAGCAATCCTTCTGCTATGCAGACTGGTGAATCTTGGCAAACAAACAAATATTATGTGTTAATGTTGTAAAACTGTTTTGCTATTTCCATAGAGAATGTTAGTTTGCAGTACATACCTGTAGCTGAACTTGGAGATTCAGTTACTTGGACATTAATAGCAAAGCCAACATCGAAATCATATAGAGCTTCATTAAAAGTCACGGCACAAATGTCCACTGTGCCATCACTCTCACTGAAAATGTACGTTGACTGCTCAAAATTTATGTCCACTCCTGTTGATTACAACACAGAGTAAGCTATAGCCAGTAAGGGTCAAGATGAAAATGAGTGTATTGCATACTAGTAAAACAGTCTCCAAAACTTCACGCATATACATACCCCCCCCCACACACTCTTGACACAAGTGCTCAAGAACAAATGAGAGGAGTGGTCAGAATAGTTTAGAGCATAGAGCTAAGCTTACTCTTATCATCATCAATAATGGTGATAGTAGTGGTGGGAGTGTTGAGTGTGACTTTGCTCTCTGACGAGGAGAGATGAAGGGAGAGTGTCTCATTACCCTCCACGACATCATCAGCAAGTAGTTCAATAGGGAACTGGTAGGTGAAATTGCTGTTTTCCATCACAGCTACGGTCCTATTCTGTGCCAAATAGTCCTGATCAACTGTGTAGTGAGAGATACACTTTAATATTCTGTTAGCGTAATGCACATTACTCACCAATGGCGGTTTGGCCACTTTGTGTCACATTGTACCTGATTGTTAAATTCTCTGGTAGTACGTCATAAACAATGTTTACAGTAACAATGGAGTTTTCGAAGAAGACATGGTTTGCTTGGGCAAACTGAATGGTTACATCTGGAGCAATAAACAAAAGTGATGTTGGAATCAAATGGGCAGATAGCAAGGAGAGGGATGCATTACGAGAAATGCAAAATATACTTGCTAACTTCAGCCATCTGTCACGAAAAACTTTGTGGTTAAAAGCAACATCTGAAAATGTCTCCACTTGAAAGTGTGCCACTACACAGCATAACAAAGATGTTGCTCACTATCATTGTCTATGATGCATATGACGGTGGCATTGGTTTCGACATTGACTCGAAAGTCAGAGGATATGAGATGGAGGGAGAAACATTGTTCGGGCTCCGGCCTGGAGTCATCGTTGATCATGATATTTACCTCTACCACACACTCGTCTGAGGCGTTTGGGGAGATGCTGTACTCTAAGATCACAGGATCATAATCTGAAAATAAAATGCCGATATACTGTCACAAAACGAAGAGCAATAATGAAACATAGAGCTTTGTATTATACATCCTGGACAAAGTAGTACATAGACAGCTGTACATAGTGTATAAGACATCATTGTTTTGATATGCAAACTTTTATGTTAGTGATAAATTTTATCTTTGAGGGTGTAAGCATTGTATGACACATAATCTATTGAAACTGTGTGTTGCTGATGGTCTGACCTCCTCCACTATCAGTGGCAGTTCCATCAGAGGTGTACAGTGAGAGATTGGCTGCACCACCACTCAGCTGCCCCTCAGATGACACACACACTGACACTGGCCCAGCATCCTCTGCCACCGTGTATGTGACTAATGGGAAGCTTACATTGAGCACTGAAAGGAGAAATAACATGAGAACATAATGTGTTAGTATTCATTAAAGGGAATGTGTCAGTACAAGGGCTACTAAAGTTCAATAGGGCCCCGTGAAAGACTTAGCCCTAATATATACTACCACATTCCACTGTTGCAAGTGTACTACAGGAATTATTGAACTCGTTGAGAAACACTCTATTTTGTGCTCACCGTCATCATTCTCTATGGTGATTTGGATGGTGTCATTAGCAGTGGAGACTATGAAACTGCTGCTCGTCAGTTGGATGGTGAACTCCTCATATGCTTCCACAAGGGAGTCCTCCAGAGTTGAAATGAGGAAACCCTCCACACACATGGGGTTCTGGATACCCACAAGTGTCCGCGTGAAATTCACCATCTCATAGTCTGCGGGATCAATGGAATGCACCGAGTTCAGCTGGTGGCCATACATTGCTTTGATATTGGGAATCCAAAGCTGTTGTACCTACCTTAGCCTAATTAACCCTCGGCGCGCATGCGCAGCGAGGGTTACGGCAGTTGGGTTTGTCTGTCTGTCTGTCCATGCTCCAACTCACTTCTCGATGGTTTATTCGTCCCACAAACGATACGACGTAATAGACGGGTAATAAGAATCAGTTTAATCGAACGGTTTTTCCTGAAACGGCTGCGTTCGAGAGCGACAAACTGGACACCGCCGACGACCGTGTTTCCGTGGCCCCAACCCATCAATAAGCGGTGCGCATGCGTATATTAGACGCGAATCAACGTGGCACATGCTGGCCTCACACGACCTATCGCTTGCTCTGTGTACCTGAGGCACAAGAAACCACAGCGAAGGGCGTGTATCGACTCCCGATGCTATCTAATACGTAGCTAGCCCGGTCAGACTCTCGCGAGTACTAGCGGGAGGACTGCGGGTCCGTCCGTAGCGGTACCGAGCGCTATGCGACAGTTCGCCGAGTGTTTGCACTTCGGTGCTTTTCATTCAGACTGCAATAGTGAATAAGCTGCAGTGCTGGTCTAGCAAGTATTCTAGCTTTACACACTTAACGCAATAGTTATAGGGTTGTGACTGGCTTGTGTATAAAGTCATGAAATTTAATCCATCCTGTACATCACTTGAGCACAGCCGACTCTGGTACTTTCAATAGCCTGGGCTATTAGTTTCATTCCACATCTCTTTAATAGGTGGTTACAAATGTTGATGTTGGAATGTAAAGGAGTGTTTTTCAGCACAGTGTTGGCTCACCTGATCCAGACTGAGCTGTACCATCAGATGAAATCACGGAGAAATCAATGTTGTAGCCATCAGGAATGGTGCCCGAGGCTGTGACACATACCACAACTGACTCTCCTTCCTCCAATGAATACGATGTCCCCTCAAAGGAAAGAGTCACCCCTGCCACATACGGTACACCAACTGATAACAAATTCTACGCTATGTCATAAGCTGTGTGCATAAGTGTATTCAAAGCTCACATATCACACTATATTCATGACATGGCTCAGGACACACAAAAGGGCTAGATATTAGACCTTTACACCTTTACTAACATTCCACCTCTCATCCGATATCTATGTGTATGGGCTGTAGATGCAAGAGAGTGTAGCTAACCTTCCCCAAGGTAGTTCAACTCTGCAAAGTCACTGTAGAGGTAGATACCATCTTGTACCTCGAGAGCACACCTGTATTCTCCTGCATGTCCTGGCTGAACCGAATTGATTGTTAGTTTCGTCCCCATTTCAAATATGTAGTTGCTGCAGAGGTAGAGTGGAGTCAGAGAAAGTTAATATAAATTGTGCAAGAGACAACACTATAATTATATAGTTGGACTTCCGCATTTTATGCCTAGATGAAACTTGAAAAGCTAGGCATGATTATGCTCACTTTCCAGAATGGTAGACCATGATTAGAATGGTATCAGGTTAGGTGTAGCTATACTAACCCTGGGGGTGTGGTGGAGGTCAGAAACGAAAGGTCAGTGGAGTTCTTGCGTTGCCAGGTGACGTTCTTCCCACTGAGTAGCTCACACTCAAAGCTCACTCGATTTCCATTGACTGTTGTGACTCTTTCTGGTTGCACTGTAAACCTCTCATCTATACACATGCAAGAAACAGACAGGCAATAATGCTTAACTAAGTCAGGTGAACTATTGGGCCAAAATCGATACAACTTTACAAGTTGTAGAGGCTGTTTTTAAGAAAGTCAGCCACGGTTCTTGAAACCAGTAAACCTGTTACAGCTCTGAAAGTCAGTCGCAGTTACCTGTTGCCACGATCTGGGCTGTTGCACCGCAGTTCACTAGTGTTTCCTCAAGAGTTACATTGCACTGGTAGTTCCCCGAACAAGCCTGGCTGAAGCTGGTGAAACAGAGCTGGGTACCCGTCATCAGGTCGTTGAAGTTGCAGGTACACGTGAGGTCCTGGTCTCCGGAGCACGAGTTGGACCAGGTCTCGCCCTCCGTGTTCGGGTAGTCGCAGATAAAGCAGACGTTTGATCCTGTGCTGACTGCCATGCTCTCGGGAAACGAAGTGAAATCTAAAATAAGTGAGGTATCTATATAGCTACGCTGATAATCTGCTAGCTCCTTACAGCGCATGTATAATAGCAGCTGCATAATAGCTACGTACCTGCACACATGATGTCCATTGTTCCAGAGCCAGAGCCAAGGACCACTGCACTCGACTGCCGCCAAACCACAGCCATGATGGCTACTAGCCACCAAAAGAGGAAAGGTCTGCCCATCCTTACTACACCCATGAGGAGAGATGAGAAGCAAAGTATAGCATCCACCTTCGGGGGCGGGGCTGTATATAGCGCGCATGCGCATGCGCACGGGCCAGGGCCGGTCTTGCGCATATGCACGCGGGGAGCTGTCCTAGAGTGCGCGTAGCTAGCTACAGACTATCATGGGTTGTCCTACACTCACAATAGCGGGTTTCGCTCTGTTTTCGATTCTCTGTGCGATCGATCCCGCGTTCGGATGCGGCTGTAACCGCGGCCACTGCGCCGTGCGAGAGGACGGCGGATACCGCTGTGTTTGCGGGGAAGGTTACAACTGCGACAAACCAAGACCGAAGAGAGAACCTGCTGTGGGAGAGAGTCCTGTGATTGGAGAATCAGATGAAACAGTAATTATGGGGGAGAGTCCTGTGATCATCGGTGAATCAGAGGGAGAAGCCGATATTATAATAGAAGAGAGTCCTGCAATAATTGGTGAATCAGAGGGAGAAGCCGATATAATAATTGGTGAATCGGAGGGAGAAGCTGGTATAATGAAGGAAATAATTGGTGAATCAGAGGGAGAAGCCGATATAATAATTGATGAATCGGAGGGAGAAGCTGATATTCTAATGGGGGAGAGTTCTGTAAGCATTGATGAATCGGAGGGAGAAGCTGGTGTGATTATAGATGAGGATCCTGTAATGATTGGTGAATCAGAACGCGTAATGGAAGAAAGTCTCATAATGGAGAGCCAAGCAGGTTTAATGAGAGAGTGTTACATGTCATGCAAACCATAAAGAGGTGTATAGTCCAAGTTGGGTTTAGCTCTTCCATTGCATGTTCCAAGTGTGGTATAGGTTATTGCATAGTTTGAGATACTGATAGAAAATGCAGCTTTTATTTTTGTCAACAGAGCGAGAGTGTTTAGTGATAAACTGTGTAAGTTGTTTCACAAACAAGACCACCTGTGATGCGTGTATTGACAGTTACTACTTGGTGGATAATCAATGTCGTAAGTTACCCTAACCTTAGCCACGTGTCTTAAAAATTTGTATCTTAGATCCAAACTCTAAGACAGTCAACGTGAGTGCTAAGGCCAGGAATAATAGACGTGTTCTTTATGGAATTATTGGTGAGAATGAAAGGGTTTGTCGTCATCCAAAAGTGTATTTTTGCACATAATTTGCAGGTGTACTGCTGTGCATACCTGCCCTCTTGACAATCATAATTGTCACTACTATCCTTGTTTTCTGTTATAAGAGGAAGAAATATAAAAATGTCTGGTAAGTATAATAATATTATTGTGGTTCATAGGAGAAGCTAACGATGCTTCGTGTATCCCTTCCCTACCTTGTCTCCCTTTCTTTTTATACCATCCCTATATGCCTCTCTTTTAGATTCGCAGGATTATATTGGGCCCTGGGGTCGGGTAACTGCGCAACGTAAGGCGCATGCGCACAATTTTACGCCCCTATTAGACGCCCCTATACGAACGGCAGAAAATGGAAGACGTCCCGGACCTCACACGGTTTTCAGTCCGCGAAAGGTATGCCAACAGACTGGAGGAGGCCCAACATCCAGCGGGCGATAGAGACATCCAAGACAGAGACCTACTTGGAAAGGGCTACATAACAATCAAGCAGTTGGGCTGTGGGGCGTTTGGAGTGGTTACACTGGTGAAAAAAACTGACGGTCGTGGGATCCATTCTGCCATCAAGAAAATTTCTTGTAAAACAGAAGGTGATGCTATTACTGCAATCCAAGAAGCCGACACCCTTCAACACGCAAGTCATCCCTTTGTCCTAAAATTTCTAGATTGCTTTGTTGGGACAGATAATTGCGCTGTCTACCTTGTGACGGAATTTTGTGAAAACGGTTCCCTCCACGACCAACTTAAACGTGGTCCGATTGGTTGGCACCTCCGAATTGTGTGGTTTAAGCAGTTGCTTGGGGGACTGGCACACCTCCATTGTATGCAAATTGTGCATCGTGATTTAAAGCCAGAAAATATAATGGTGTCGTCATCAAATACATTAAAAATAGCTGACTTTGGTTTGGCTACAATGCTAGAGAATGTCAACTTTTCAGGATACTCAGCTCAATTCAATGGAAGCATGCAGAATTATATGGCTTCCTTTTGTGGTACAAAGTTGTACATGGCCCCAGAAGTGTATGAACAACATTATACAAACAAAGCAGACATTTTTTCTCTAGGTCTTATTTTCCTTATTGTTGCAGAGCGGAAATGGGTTCGGATTGAATTTGGTCCGTGGAGCTATGGTGCAATGGTTAATAGAGAAGGCACATACTATGCTTTAGGTTATGCCATGAACCGTGATATACATAGGGGATCAGATTACGTTTTCCAGCATTATGTTGAAGATTTGATGTTTACCACAGCAACATGGCCAGAGATTAATCTTATAAAGCATTTGCTACATCCAGACCGTTCTCAAAGGCCATCTGCATACCGTGCACTCGATCTTCTTTGTAAAATCGAAAATGATGGGCTGTCACTTAAATCTCACCTTTTTACCCCTCTGGGATACGTCGCAAACTATCTAAGTGTCTCCCATTGGTGGCCCGGTTCAAACTGTAATTAGTGAGACTCATCACTGTAATAACATATCTTTTTGTATATTATTAGCGAGCAATTCAATGAGTGTGTGTATACTGATGCAACACCGTCCTTGCTGCCACTTGAAAATGCGTTTAGAGTCGCAACTTCACCTGCTGCCATTACAATGGGATGTCCCTGGGTCCCATGACGTGTTTGCTATATGCGTCATCCCTGAAAGTATCTGTTTACACAAGCGTGCATCGTCATGATGACAAGCAGCATATTCGAGGTATGCATGGTGCACATAATACACGCTCTACGTGGCAAAACCACATGATAAGCTGAACCAGTTGTTTTGCTTGAGCAGTCCTTCTCAGTAGAGTGTAACGTGCGATCCGTCCGTTACACAAATCCATCTCTATCTTAGCATACATACACTCAAGTCATCACATGACTAACGTATACAGGTGAATGACTACGGCGCATGCGCATGACGTGACTATATACAATACAGTACATACAGTAGCATACAATAACAGTCTCTGTGTCCCTATTACAGTGAGCACGTAAATGTGTGGGAACAACACAACGTCGCTGATGATTTCGTTTCGAGTCGATGAAGTAGACGATGTTGTCGATGAACGCAAACGAAGGAGCTTGAGAGGCAATCTTTTTCGCTTGCTGAGAGTCACCAGGTACACTGTCCTTGAGACAGGAATTTGCTCAGCTCTAGGATCTCGGGATCCTTCTCTTGCTCCTGAGAGTAATGAACAGCAGTGTCAGACACAGACGGCGGTTTCTGAAGGAGTTCCGTTATGTCTCCAGCAGTCTGGATCTGAGCTACCTGGACGTCTGGAACGGAGGTGTCAGCAGTCTCCCCTCCGACCGGGCAGCGTGAAAGGGCATCTGCGTTAGTGTTCTCTCGTCCTTCTCGATACGTGATCTGGACTCTCTTCACACTGCTACCAAACAGCTTGCTCCACCAACGAGCATGTTTACCACTCGGACTAGGAGTCTCCAATACAGCTTTGACTGCTGAGTGATCAGTGAAGACGTACACATCATGGCCATAGAGGTAGGCGTGAAAGTGACTCACTGACCATACCACCGCTAAAGTCTCGAGCTCTGTGATGGCGTACCGCTTTTCCTGTGGAGACAGAGAACGGCTGGCATATGCAACAGGGTGCACCTTTCCATCCTCGGCTCGTTGCGAAAGAACCACACCAAGACCCATAGCACTAGCGTCAGTCTCGAGGATGAAATCCCGATTGAAGTCTGGGTACATGAGAATCTGTGACTCGGTCAATCTTTGCTTGAGGAGCAGAAATGCCTCCCCGCATTCTCGAGACCAGTGAAACGGCGTTCCCTTCTGAGTGAGATTGTGTAGCGGCTGTGCAATCCTGGCAAAGTTCTTCACGAACCGCCTGTAGTAGGACGCCAGTCCCAAGAACTGTCTGACTCCTTTTACTGATGTTGGAGCAGGGTAGTCACGGACAGCTGCCACACGGTCGGGATTAGGGCGAATACCATCTGGAGTAAGCAGGTGACCTAAGTACTGCACTTTCTGGCTGATAAAGTGGCACTTGGAAGGTTTCAGCTTGAGGCCCGCCTTTGCCAGGCGATCAATGATGAGTGAGAGGTGATGCAGGTGATCATCCAGTGTCCGTGAGAACACTACGACATCATCAAGGTAGACGGATACGAAATCTGGTCCTTGAACTCATACAACCCCTGAAGGCTGTTTTCTCGCGAGAGTCAGGGTGCATCTTCACCTGCCAATACCCAGATGCTAGGTCGAGTGTCGAAAAGAACTTGGACTGTCCTAGCTGATCGAGAAGGTCGTCCATTCGTGGCAGAGGAAACACCAGGTTTCGTCACGAGGTTGGTCTTCTTCTTCTTACAGTTCCACGCAAGATGGTCAGTGTCGCCACAGAAGTAGCACTGACGAGGTTCTCCCCGATTTTCTCTGCGCTTCTCACTTGGTTTGTTCGTTGAGTTTTGCTGGGATCGTCCTCCAGCATCTCCCTTCTTGCCGATGTCCTTGAGGTACTGCTGATGACGTGACAACTCGTTCAGGCGTTTCTCTTCATGTCTCGCGGCGATACAGAGCTGGGTGTACTAGTCAGCTCCAGAGACTGCAGGGCTCTTGATCAGGCCATACTTCAGTCCCTCTTGGAGTTGGCTGTAGAGTAATGTCTGGCGGGTCTCCACACTCAGGCCATCATGGCCATATGCAGCTTGGAACAGTCTCTCCAGACGACGGATATACTCTGCCACAGACTCTCCCATTTCCTGCGTCGCATGTCTGAAGTCTTGGCCAGCCAGCACACGATTCTCGGGGTCCACCCGAGAACGAAGTGACCTCACGGCATCAAGTCGACCGGTCGTCTGTCGGAATGAGGTTCCACTCCTGCAGTGCACGTCCGCGGAGATGTCCAGCGAGCTGCAGTAGCTTTTCTTCATCCGTCCAGGCATTCCATGATGAAGCTCTCTCTAGAGACGGTAACCAGTCATCGAAGCGTGTGACTCCAGCCGTGCGATCCGTCCGTTACACAAATCCGTAGCTACATACATACGTACATGCATGCATATATATATACACTCTAGTCATCACGTGACTACGTATACAGGTGAATGACTACGGCGCATGCGCAGGAGGTGACTACCTACAATACAGTCTCTGTGTCCCTGTTACAAGAGCATGAAAGATGCACACAACAAGATAAGAATCCTTTTGTGGATGGGTAAAGGCAAACATAGATCAAAGGATCCTAAAGATCCACAGGAGTGGCATGAAGTAGCATAAAACCAGGAAAGGGGGAGATTCTGCATGTGAGAGGGTGTTGTGAGAGAATAATCAGTCAGAGAGGCAGTAGGAGTTGGACCAGGTCTCGCCCTCCGTGTTCGGGTAGTCGCAGATAAAGCAGACGTTTGATCCTGTGCTGACTGCCATGCTCTCGGGAAACGAAGTTAAATCTAAAATAAGTAAGGTATCTATATAGCTAGCTACACTGATAATCTGCTAGCTCCTTACAGCGCATGTATAATAATTTTAGCTATGTAGCTACATACTTATACCTGCACACATGATGTCCATTGTTCAAGAGCCAGAGCCAAGGACCACTGCACTCGACTGCCGCCAAACCACAGACATGATGGCTACTAGCCACCAAAAGAGGAAAGGTCTGCCCAGTAGGAGAGATGAGAAACAGTAATTATGGGGGAGAGTCCTGTGATCATTGGTGAATCAGAGGGAGAAGCCGATATTATAATAGAAGAGAGTCCTGCAATAATTGGTGAATCAGAGGGAGAAGCCGATATTATAATAGAAGAGAGTCCTGCAATAATTGGTGAATCAGAGGGAGAAGCCGATATAATGAATGAAATAATTGGTGAATCAGAGGGAGAAGCCGATATAATAATTGGTGAATCGGAGGGAGAAGCTGGTATAATGAAGGAAAATTCTATAATACTTGAGGGAGAAGCTGATATTCTAATGGGGGAGAGTTCTGTAAGCATTGATGAATCGGAGGGAGAAGCTGGTGTGATTATAGATGAGGATCCTGTAATGGTTGGTGAATCAAGAACGCGTAATGGAAGAAAGTCTCATAATGGAGAGGACGAAAGCAGGTTTAATGAGAGAGTGTATACATGTCATGGCAAACCATAAAGAGGTGTATAGTCCAAGTTGGGTTTAGCTCTTCCATGCATGTTCCAAGTGTGGTATAGGTTATTGCATAGTTTGACGATACTGATAGAAAATGCAGCTTTTATTTTTGTCAACAGAGCGAGAGTGTTTAGTGATAAACTGTGTAAGTTGTTTCACAAACAAGACCACCTGTGATGCGTGTATTGACAGTTACTACTTGGTGGATAATCAATGTCCTAACCTTAGCCACGTGTCTTAAAAATTTTGCATCTTAGATCCAAACTCTAAGACAGTCAACGTGAGTGCTAAGGCCAGGAATAATAGACGTGTTCGTTATGGAATTATTGGTGAGAATGAAAGGGTTTGTCGTCATCCAAAAGTGTATTTTTGCACATAATTTGCAGGTGTACTGCTGTGCATACCTATAATACCCTCTTGACAATCATAATTGTCACTACTATCCTTGTTTTCTGTTATGAGAGGAAGAAATATAAAATCCGCAGAAATGTCTCGTAAGTAAAATTAATATTGTGGTTTATAATAAAGTGAGACTGCAGATGTATCTCAGGAAAACTGGTATGACTGGTGCCAGCCAAGTTGAAGAAGGAAAACTATAGAAATGTGCCTTGCTGTGTATTGTGTGTGGAGTGTTTGTTAAAGTAAGTGTTGAAACAGTGATACACATCATAAAACTACTGCTGCTTTCAACATTTTTTTTTAATAAAGTGTGCGCCAAGATTGGTTAGTCTTGGGCTGTGATGTTTTGCAGTGTTTTCTGGCGGAATTGTCTTTTACACTCTAAGAATCACACTGGTACACATGAGGAAATGCAGTGTATCATACACAATAGATGTAAGGAAGAGTTGTTGACAAGAATGCAGGTACCGTCAATAGTGTTTAGCAACACATTTGACCACTAATAAGTAATAAGTTTTCAGTCACATTGTAAATTTTCCAGGCTCAGTGTTGTCTCTAGATCGGCCTCTTAGTAGTAAAGACTCTGTTAGGAAGTTTCTCCTGGTCCCATTGTGTTTTTCTGACCCTCCAGCTACAGAATACAAGGGCTCCAGGTCGTCCTTGTCAGCAGCTACACTGCTTCTGTTGCTCTCTAGCTCCTGAGCCTCAGTCTCTGTCTGTGATTCCTTTGTTGCCAGGGATGTCTGGCCAGTTGGGTGACTCTCTATGTTAATCGAGGTGCATACATTAACCTATACATGAAACAAACTCACCTTCATTCGAATCAAGTGATGGTTTCTGGAGAAGTATATATGCCCTTAAATGACCTTCGAATCCAGAGTAGAACTGTGCGGATGAAAAGAAGCATTGACACACTAGCTACACTTCCTAAACTTAGGCTTACCATTGTTTTTGAGAGATATTTCATCTTCAGACATGGGAGCAGTAGAGATATCTTGTTCCTCATCTATACATATGAGCATAGTAGGTACATAGTTAAATATCTATGGTAGATATACTACTGCACATGATAAATACATAATTGCACTGTGCTCTTTGCAACTCACAGTTCTGTTTCTCATGACGTGGAGAAAGAATATGGAAGTTCCCTACATTACAGCAGCAAACAGCAGCATCTATTACTTAAGACAGGCGATGTAGCTAGGAACCTGGAGGGAGTTGAAGATGGTGAAGAGCCAGGCAAAGACAGTGGTATGGCTGTTGAGGGCCAAGAGACCAAACAGCCATGTCAGTCCCAGCAAAGGCAGTAGAATTGCAGTTGATTTCAGAAGTGTTCTGTAGTGAAAAATAATATTGTGACCAATTCTGGAGAGTGTACCAACTGATGAGTCATTTCCTTACTTTGCTAGCTTGATAGACTTTTTCTTTTCCATTGCCTCAAATTTCTTCATGGATATACTGCGTAGCAATGCTGATAGAGCTAACACCAGGAACACTGTGTTGATCTAAAGGGAGTATACAACACTCTAGATATAATTCAGAGTGTGCACTGCCTTACCAGGACGATGATTATCATTGGTATCACAAATGCAAAGATTGTCCCTTGCTCTGTTGAAAGCCAGCAGCTAAAGTGAAATAAATACAACATCTATCAGGTATATTCAGCCGAGTGTTTTGCTCTGGCCTCCAACTCACAAGGAAAGCTCTCCATCATCACCATGTACCCCATAATACTCTGCACGTGCTGCCAGTCCAATTATCACAAACAACAAAGGAGTACCTGTGTATAACGGGGTACAAAGACAGCACTTTGCTACTGTTACGGCTGCACAAAATGGTTTCGTGAAATGGCATATGTACATTATGTATGACTTACAGTAGCCAAGTATCATAAACATCCACCACTTCTTTGATAAACTACTGAAGACCAAAGTCAACAACAGGTAGAGCATGATCCCCTCACACATCATCCAGCAGAAGGCTGACAGGAAGAGGTACTGCAAAAGTGCTGCCACAAATCCACACCCTCCCTATACATTTGTATGGCACTTGGACCAAACTGTGTGATGTTTTGTTCATACCCTGGTGCTGGTGCCCAGTTCAATTCCAAACATGAAGACCACATATCCCAGCAGTAGAGATATTGCCAGGTTGAGGTGGACAAAGTAGTGCACTGCAGAAAACAGCTTCTTCCTGCATGAAAGAGACACTAGGTCAACCATGCCTTTTCACCTGGTGTCTATCTCACCCCATGGCCAGGTAGAAGACCACAGTCATGGAGAGACATACGGTGGATATGATGCAACCAATGTAGGTGACAACTGCAAGAGACAGTTTCTCTTTCCTTGAAATTTCCTGCAAAAGCACACAATCATGGTTGAAACTCCAGTATGTTACAAGACCTTAATCGCTGGCCTACTATAATAACTAGGTTAACACACCTCATGTCCTCCAGCCACATCCACCAGCACAGCGAAACTCGTGAGGTGAATAGAGGTAAACACAACTGTGCTCACGTTGTCCCTCGTCATGTTACTAATGAGCTGAGTCCCCTCTGAGCTCCACCCACCAGTACCCACCCTGTGGAGGGAGATATGCATGAGCCCACAGTGCCAATGATGTTAAACGTACGGGTCAGAAAAGTCCCAAAAGACTCCAACATACAGATTGGACTTCTCAAAATTCTGGAGTGAAAGAGTCACATAAAACTATAGTGCAGTATTAATTATGGACCTACTGCTGTGAAGGAGAAGTTGAGTGTTATGGGGTTGTCCCTGAACAAATCAACTGGGATCTTATCCTCACTCAGTCCAACCAGTTGAGATGACAACACCAGAGACTCCGCCCTACTGTTGCTGTAGACATGAGACAATTGTAGTAAAAATCAGATATGTGACAGAGTTCCAACCTTAGCACTGCAGTGTTGGTGGGTAAGAAATCTTCAATGTTTCTGAAGAGCATGTGAACCAGTGAAAGCTCTGCGAAAAATCATGTGATTCACATGTTATATTAGCTTACTTCCAAAATCGTATGTACTTCACTAATGACAAAGTACTAACGTTGTGTAGTGGTCTCATGACCGAGTCCCAATAGAGGGTCTATTGGGATGGTGATCTGAGCCATCTCATTCAGATCCACTGAGAAGTCCCCCAGTTGGTCTGGGTGAGCAGGAAACACCACATCTGATGCTGTCTTGTCCACCGTCTCTGCTTCTACAACTGCATATGTGTATTGTAATCACATAAATAAGATTCTGTAGACTCTAGTGTGCAAGATCCGGTATGTTTGATCCCACCAACTGTGACATTGGTGCAGAGAAAATGCTACTCACCAATGTTTTCTCTAACCAGCATCAAGGGCTCGCTGGTACTATTGACAGTGGTGGCAAGGTAGGTCCCGTATCTCTCAGCATTCTGGAGCAGAGTCTGACTCCCAGAGCCAACAGTCTGGAGCTGGGTCCAACCCTCCTGGTTACTCTCATTCAGTATGTTGTTGAACACATCCACCAACTCCTGTGCAAAGGCCTAACTATAACACTTAGCTACATATATTCTATGGATGACATAGGTACCTCTCTAGGACGAATATCAATCATCCCCACACTGCTCTCCAGGACATTCAAAATCTGAGAGATGTGTTCTGTAAAACAACTTGCTGGGTACAGCTGTTGTCTATGAGCTCACTCGTGCTACTACATTGTTGGTGGCCTCAAGGTCAAGAGGGAGTAGTCGTGAGCCAGTGGCCATCGCCAGCTGCTCTGAGACCACTGCCACACTCTCCAACAACTCTGGAGTCACTTCTTCTATCACCTCGTCGGCACCAGGCAGACGGTTTCTGGCCTGCAGGCAGAGAGAAGGATGAGAAAGTGAATGGAGAGTGGGAGGAAGAGAAACGTGGTGTTTACCTCTTCCACCACAAGAAGTATGGCTAGTGACTGACAAGAGAGGACGTTAACATCTCCCCATGTCCCGTTCTCATAGCATACTCTTTTTGCACTTCCTATGGATCACAAACATTTTATTCACGTGTATAGCGCGTTATGCATCAAGAGAGAATACCAAGAGTATCAACTCCTCCAGGGCAGGGTTGGGCATTGACGGTACCTACTGCTGTATTGGGCCATATGATACCCCATATTTCATCTGGACCATATGGACACCCTGTGAAGTATGAAATCATTTTGTGTTTGGAATACCACCCAATATCATCCCACCTGTGTCGATGTCCTGACTGGCCGTCACTCCAATGACAGGGTCGCTCTCTTCACTTCCAATTGCATTAGAGGCAGTCACTCTGATGATATACCTACTGTTCTCCTCCAGTCCACTGATTACATAGCTAGTAGAGCCGTCAATGATAGTTACAGTTCCCTGGTCTTCAGAGGTGTCTCTCTGCCACTCAACAAAATAGCTGACACCTTCTGAACCCCCACTAGTCCAGGAGATGGAGATGGAGGTGGGCGTCACAGAATCTACCATCACAACTGGGAGAGCAACTGGGGAGTCCTGATTGGCTGTCATTCCAATGACAGGGTCGCTCTCTTCACTTCCAATTGCATTAGAGGCATTCACTCTGATGATATACCTACTGTTCTCCTCCAGTCCACTGATTACATAGCTAGTAGAGGCATCAATGATAGTTACAGTTCCCTGGTCTTCAGAGGTGTCTCTCTGCCACTCCACAAGATAGCTGACACCTTCTGAACCACCACTAGTCCAGGAGATGGAGACGGAGGTGGGCGTCACAGAATCTACCATCAAAACTGGGACAGCAACTGGGGGAGCAGACAAGGTCGTGGTTATCCAGGAGCTGTTTTTTATTCACGAATCATGGAGTGTGGACACAAGGAAAGTGAGTCATTCAAGAGAGCACCGATAGAAGGAAGTGTTGGGTTTGACTTGAATCTAACATACCCTGTTCCCAAGGCAGAGTATATACTACACACAGCTACCAGGTATGATAATAAATACATACCTAATGTCATTTGAGACCGAGTGTTACTGAATTCTCCAGTGCCGACATTATTCACAGCTGCAACTTGCACCAAATATGTGGTAGAGGAAACAAGATCAGGTAGAGTAGTTTCAAGACTCATTCCAAAGATGCTCATGGTTTGCACGGGACCATCAGCATAATATCTCACAGAGTAGCCTGTGATGTCTCCATTCTGAAGAATACATGGGACACTCCCCCACTGAATAGTTAGGGCGGTGGAGGTAACACCAGTCACACTCACAGAAGAGGGAGGGGCAGATGGAACTAAGTGTGAGATTATAGTACATCTATACACACTCTTAATGGTAAAAAGCATGCACATAGTATCATGACACTGTGACAAATTCACGACCATAAATTCCTGATGTCTAATGTTGCAATGTTCAGGTATTCACAATTAATCAATGTATGAAGCGTGTGATGCATGCTAAATCATGACAGTATACACCTCTGGCTATAATAAGTTCGAAAGTTGCTTAACATGCAAGAAGGTGCCATAATATTATTTCACCTGCTTCCTGAGTCATTGCTTTGATAGTGTCTTCACTGCTACCAGCTGCATTGAAAGCTCTCAGTGTGATGATATAACTGCTGTCCTCTTCGAGTCCAATGATAACATAGGCAGTGGAGCCTCCAGAGATAGTGGTAGTGCCTTGGTCCTCATCAGAACAACCTACTAAAGTATCTCTCTGCCATGTGACATCATAACTGTCCACCACTGAGCCACTGAGAATGCTCCAGGAGATAGAGATGGTAGTAGCTGTTGCTGAAGCTAAACTTGCCAGCGGACCTGGAACTATTACACACACACAGTATATAGTGATGTGATTGTAGGGTTAATAACAAACCTAAACCGACGTTCATGTCGGCAGTTACTGTTGCACTAGTTACACTGCCTGATGTGGCAGCAATGGATACGGTGTAGGTGTCTCCATTGGTGAGACCAGTTAGAGTGTGAGTGTTGGTAGAGCCACCACTAACAGTCTCACTGCCACTGTGACCTCCACTACTGTCATAGTCAATCCTATAGCCAGTCGCACCAGTAGATGGACTCCAAGACACTAGAATACTGGTTGGACCTTCCTGGACTGCTGTCACATTAGTTGGAGGCCCAGTTGGAGGCCCAGTTGGAGGCCCAGTGTCTATAGAATGTGTGTATTATTACAGTCTTAAACATACGGAAAAGAGTTAGTCACCTGCTAAAGTGATGGAGCGAGAATCAGACGATGGCTTGTTGTTAGACACGGTGCATGTGTATACTCCATAAATGACAGCAGTAAGACTGAGAGTATGGATGTAGAGTGGAGTCACTGGATCACTCAACACAGTCGCAGTTCCTTGGGTGACAGTGGTGGAGTCTCTGGTCCAAGTGACAGTGGTAGCAGGTCCACCAGTGGAGATACAGGTGATGGTTAACTGGTCAAGATCAAATGTCAATTCCCCAAATATTAAAACATCACCTACAAGGAAAAAGGAAATCAGTCAACTCTGACACAAAAGACATTCAGAATGTTAGACATCATAATATGTAGAATAATATGGATAATGATTTCTGTTAATTTACTCCCTACATGTTGTAAGATTTTCTCATTTTCAAAACAGCCCTATATGAGATTGGGTATTTACGTTGAATTTCATGCATTAATGCACAGCTATGCATGATTGTTTCATAGCAAACTGGCTTATGCAGACACTAACACCCACACCTATGTCAGAGTATAATCCTTTTTGGGCTACAGTAATGTATAATATAGTATTTCCTTGTGATAAGAGTGAGTAGCTGTCAATAACAATAGCAGCAGGCCTCTATATTCACTAGTTTCCAGGGTTTTCCTTGAGGTACCACACATGACAGTAGCTACTATAACTTGGATGGTTTCCACCTATTTTTGGTTTGTGTGGTAACAAGATCGCTCAGACAAGGAAAGCATCCAGTTACTTGGTAGCCATATAGGACTACACATTCCAGCCATAAGCTTCCCTGTCTTTCTCAATATGATACCCTTACATCCATCTTCACTTTAGAGAAGGGAGTTCTACTTATAAGTTACCTCCATTACTGAGGTAGAGTCCCACATAAAGAGTGTCTCTCACAGAAGAGTCAGCATCATCATGAACAGCAACAGTAGGAATATCACAACGATAGATACCAGTTGGTGAGGTGGCACCATTCCTATTGATTAGGTCAACACTCCGAGGATTATAAATTTGTCTGATTCTACCTCCACCGGTTAACACTCTGCTTCCATCTGGAAAATACCAGTCTCCGTGGATAGTCTCAATGAAGCAACACGTGCTCAGGTCAGTGATACACCCAACGCTGTTATCGTCTCCCACTAGACTGAGGTCGACGTACGAATGGTTTGCCAGAATCTGTTCCATGAAAAAGACATAGGGAAAGGTTGTTGGGAGTTGGGAGTGCACCTCCACCAGAAACAGCAGGAAACTCGGCAGTAACTGCGGTAAGGACGCAACCCGCATCGTCAGTTGTGATCGTCGAGACTGCACGGAAAAATGATAAGGGGTAGTCTCCGCGTCGCGCTTCTCGATCCTGCGCAATAGCGCACGTGACTCTGCATAAGTGCTATATTATGCAAGGCGGCCCTAGCTAGCTTGATGCTACACTGTACAGTGGTTAATTCCGTAGGCGAGAGTTTAGCCATGAATCTTTCCTTTATGCTTTCTTGCTGTACTAGCCTAGTGGTTTTAGCTCTGCTTCCTTTCTCACTCGCCTGCGAGGGTGACAACGGTGGAGCCAACTGTGATGAGCCTGCACCGCTCATACCGAGAGATGTATCTTGCGGTCCAGTGCAATGTCTTAACGGTGGAACCTGTGAATCTATGGCGACAGATATCGGAGAGTCATCGCAGGGCATGAGTGGCTCGGCTATGGGAGGGGACAGTGGGCATGGTTTGTGATTGTGCTACGGGATACACTGGGTCTAACTGCTCAGGTATAAATATATTATAGCTATGAATCATACCTTGCACACATCAGTTAACTGAGTAACACTAATGTTGGTGGTTGTTTTGTAATAGAGGCCGAATGCTACATAAGAAATTGCTCAAGGTGTGTGATGGACAATAATACTTGTGAAGGGTGTCAGGCAGGATTCATTCTCTCCAGCAACAACTCCACATGTGGTCTGTTGTTGCATGCTTTCGGATTGACAGAATGCAACTATATATTTTTGTCAACAGAACGAGAGTGTTCGTGAGAAACTGTTCACAGTTGTGTCACAGACCAAAACACCTGTGACGCATGCAATGATGGCTACTACCTGATGCACGATGAATGTTGTAAGTTTTCCTTCATGAAAATTCGGGTTGTATTTTTTTGCACCAGAGGTTAAATGAAAATTATTGATGTTCTGTGGTAAACGGCTCAATATGGAATGTCAGGGAGGGTATATACTTTCTCTCGAAATTGCTTTTCGTGATTAGCTATAGACAAAGTCATGATAGTTACTATGCAGTGATTGAATGTAACCTACACTAAACTTTTCGTTTTGTCAGTGGAGATTGAAAACAAGTGTTTCGTTGAAAACTGCTCGAAGTGTGACATAGACCAACCAAATAGCTGTCAGGAGTGTAAGGCAGGGTTCAACCTCACCAAAGACCACCAGTGTGGCTGAGTTACTGTTTTGAGGATGCCTAAGATATCCAGAAGTAATAGAATTTTCAGTGTTTTCCACAGAACTAGAGTGTTTAGTGAGAAACTGTTTCAGTTGTACTAAAAACAGCGATACCTGTGCCAATGCAGCGAGGGTTACCGGGTGGCTAATGGTTTTGATATTCCTTGCAATCTTGTCTTTTCAATTGCATCATTCTGTCCTAACAGACTGTCCAATAGAGGGATGCAAGGTGTGTGATTCTAGTGTTGAATCTTGCGATGAGTGCCTCGAAGAAAAGGCTAGGTTTGACCCCAAATCTAACAGCTGTACCACAATTAGTGGACAAGACATGCAAGTCACAGTAATCATTGGTGAGAAATACATATACAGTGAGTGATTAATTACGTCATAATAATCGATAGGGGTGGTTATTGCCGCTGCTGTTATTTTGGCAATCGTGGTCATCATTGTTTCTGTGCTGGTCTACTATCGTCGAAGGAGAAGAAACAAGATGTTCAAACTCAACTATGAAGTAGCGTAAGCAAAAAGCATACATTTTTTTTGATGTGGACATTATGTTACTCAGGAGGAGCGACAGTGCAGAGTTGTTTGACAGGATACACACAACATTTCCATTAGCTGACACCACATATACAAGTAAAGATGATGCCAGTGAAAGCACAAAGGCCGATGATGAGGAAGATGCGAGTAAACTTGAGACAAATGAAACCAAAAAGGGCGAGGAAGATGAAAGCAAACATGACACAAATGAAACCAAAAAGGGTGAGGCAGGTGTGACTCCAAATGAAACAAAAAAGGAGGCTGATGCAAGCAAAGATGACACGGCAAAGGCGAACGAGGCAGATGGTCCGAGTAAAGATGACGCCAGCGAGACCACAGTGGCCATGGTGGATGGGAGCAAAGATAAGAGCAGTGAAACCACAGTGGCTACAAATGACGCAACAAAGAGACCACAGTGTGTGTGGTTTATGAAAGCAAAGATGAAATCACAGAGGCTGAGGCAGACGAAAGCAAAGATGAAACCAGTAAGATAGCAGTATGAGGACGTGAGCAAACACAAGAGGATGATGTGAACAATAGGTTCACCTAGTATTTTAGCGTAGAAAAGTAGCATTCCCTCAGCAACTAAGATTATGCGCACGCGCAGGGCTGCGGGCGGCCAGCCGATTTGGGGGGTGGGGCTGGTTCGGTTGATTGTGATGGCGATTCTAAACTTCTTCTTTTTGCTGTTGCCGGTGCTTGGTCACGCTTGCCGTGTAGACCTCGACTGTGGCTTGGGCCGATGTGTGCAGGGAGGGACGGTAGGTACGAATGCAGTTGTCCAGCAGGCCACGGGGGCAAGAGATGTGAGGCCGTCTTACGGTTGAAGAGGTCTGCAGCCGAGACCTCTCCATGTCCCTGCTTGAACGGAGATGACTGCACCAACTTCAGTGGAGATGGGAGCGAGCCGAAAACGACCACTGTTTCTCCCTGTATCCCCACACAAAAATTACCAAGTAAGATACATCTAACAATGTCCCAGAGGGCGCTTAGCTCTACTCTAAGTCGCACCTACTAGGCTTCAGACATTGGTCAATTTTACAGGCGATGGAGGCTGTACCGGTGGAAAAGATGTATGGGGTTTTGTCTGGCCCAATGCAGCAAATGATGAAACAGTTGATGTTCCTTGCCCTGACGGACAAGGTAGCTAGCCTTATAAAACTCTCAGATAAACACGAATCACTCTTCAATACATCTCTATACATGCAGAAAGAGCCAGCAGAGTGTGTATTAATGGGGTGTGGAAGGCAGCCCAAGTCCTGGAGTGTGACAGCACTGGCTTTGTTGAAACTCTGACTAAGGTCAAATCTATGACACACCTTATTGCACAATAATAATACTTTCTTACACACTTGAGTATATTGTACATACATAATACAGGCTGAAGAGGTGTTTCGTGAAGATAGTAGAGATCTTAACGTAAGACTCAATGAGACTGCAGAGATCATGAGGAGCTTGCTGCAGCTCATTCAACCAAGGGAAGGTCTATCTCATCTCCCAGGGGACCTCAACAGCACCAATGCCATCGCCTCTGGAGTTCTGACTCTCCTGGAGGACTTGCTGGTGCCTGGCAGCAATGTCACATCTGTCCCAAACCAGGTGAGTTAGACATAGAGAGATCCCTGACCTTTTTCGCACTGTGATAATGTACAGTAGGTTTGGTGCATTTTCCCTATCTCATATTCATTTTGTGTAGAACAATTTGGTGCTGTGTGAATACTATTACTTCCTCAGGTGACCACGGGCCATAACACAATATGGAAATGTGACTTATTATTCCTTTTTGCAGCGTATATTTGCTGTGTTTAATACTGCACTACATCCAAACAATGCTCAAGGATGGATGACCCTCCAAGATGTCAGTTTTCAACTACCACACTACCCTCACACCTAACATAATTCTACATTCTGCTGAGTTTCAAAAGTGTTTGTATTGAATTTTAATCTCTAGACTCTATCATCACTAATTGTATATAGCCATGTAAAGATTCCAACATGCAGGCAAAGGGAGGGGCATCTAAGTTTCTGGACAACATGGAGCGCTATGGCCTCTACCTCTCTTTGGTTGCTCCAGACACAGAGTCAAGAACTGTTCACCAAGACGATAATTTTGGTAAAGATCTTATTTTAATGTCACTTTCTTTCCATTCATCATGCACAGCTTCCAGTGGTTAACCAATATGCATTACTGCCTCATTGTATGAATTTGAACTAGTTATTGGTGTGATTCGTCACTCTGCGATGTTAAACGCCTCGTCTGTGACTTTCCCCGAGTCTTTGGATGAGCTGGAGAACACATCATACTCTGCCATCACTGCACAGATATCCATTCCTTCCACCCTACTCCTGGACAGGAAGGCTGAGGGAGGTAGGTATCATGGTGGACATGCATCACATGGTCTATTGTTACATGCGTCAGATAATATGTAGAGTAAGCCCTGGCTGCTGAGCTGCTGAGCTGCTCTTGGAAGAGGGTACTCGGTCTAGTGCAAAGTTAGAATCACACCCAGGAAAGCTTCCTGGTAAAACTGTGCACTTGAGGTGTATTTTACCTAGCAAACTTGTAGTGTCTCATTTTATGTATAGTTGTGTCCTTGCTACATAATGCCCATTTTACAGCTAATACAGCTCCAGTGGCTGGCAGCATTGCTCAAGGAATGGAAACTGCCCTCCTTCCCACTGCGTGAGAGCTGCAAAACTACATACAACCACACACACAATGTAATATAATGCATATAATCATCCTTGCTATTCAGTCTGGGACCGACATGGAGTGTTGCTTCTCAGGTGATCTCTGCTCAGGTGGCTCAACGGAGAATGAGGTCATCAACTCCTATCAACGTTACCTTCACCTTTAACTCTGTTAGCAAACTCGTTTTGGTCAATCGGCGTTTAGAAATACTTGGTTGTAGGTTACGAGTGCCTCAGAGTTTCGATGCGGCTACTGGAATTTCTCCGAACAGTGAGTTGTGTTATAAGACATAAAGTACTGGTAACTCTGTGAGTTGACCCTTCATTATTATATAATAGGGGTAGTAAAGGGGCATGGGCATTTGATGGAGTGGAGATGGTCAGCATGACAAGCTCTGATGGTTCCACAGTCGTCACATGCAAGTCTCTGCATCTCACTAGCTTCGCTGTCCTCGTCAATGCTGGGGATGGTCTCAGTGATGTACGCGCAAAATTAATACATACGCAGTTAGAATACTTGATAGTCCACATGTGTTTCATGCTTAACGTCACATCTAAGGTCAGTAGGAAGACAGAAGGGTCCTGTAAGAAGTGAGCTAAAACTCCCCAATAACATCATGGTCGTCCCCCTTCCCCTTAAATTAATTAACCTTGTCAGTATAGAAGTTTAACACTCTCTTGGTGTCGCAGTTGTCTGAGGAAGAGCTGAAAGCACTGATGGTGGTGTCAAACATAGGGTGTGCCATCTCCCTGGCCTGCCTGTTTCTGGCCATCATCTACTACCTAACCATCTGGTGAGACTATCCTACAGAACAACAATGTTATATACCACATTTGTTGTGTTGCAGGAAGGAAATGTTTGAGAAAGTTAACTACTTCATTCATTTCAACCTTGCCATTGCCTTGTTCCTTGCCTATTTCCTGTTTGTTCTGGCTATTCAACTTGCCCGAGAGAATGAGGTATGATACAGCAAGTACAGCAAGGATGCCACTAAGGCCCTTTTCAACTTCAGCATTCTGCCAGCATTGTTGTCTGGCTGAAACCCATGCACTCCTTGCATAGGTAACATTAGGTTTCTGATTACAGGGGGCATGCATATTTGTGGCAGCACTTTTGCAGTACCTCTTCCTATCAGCCTTCTGTTGGATGATGTGTGAGGGGATCATGCTCTACCTCATGTTGGTGGTGGTGTTCAGCACTCTCTCCAAGAAATGGTGGTTTTTCCTACTACTTGGCTGGGGTCAGTAGCAAAATATTATCCATGTATGTAGTAGATTCCACTTTTCTCGTGACATTTACCTCTAGTGCCAGCACTAGTGCCAGTGGTGGTTGGACTGGCTACTAGCCACAGGCAGTATGGAGTAAAGAACAGCAGTGGACAACTAGAATAGTAAGTTGACCACATTAATGATGTCACTGTCATGGTTCTCAACTTTCTCTAAAGCTGCTGGTTGTCGACCAATGAAGGGATCATCTGGGCCTTTATAGCTCCCATGCTTCTCATTATCATTGTAAGCATAAAGCAACGTAGCTGCATCGCTACCCACGCTTTGCATATTGTCTTTAATTACTTTCAGATCAACTCGGTGTTCCTTGTGATAGCTCTGGTGAGGGTACTGCAGGCCAGAAGAAGACAGGCACTCAAGAAAAGCTCAAAGGTGTCTGTAAACTTGGACCTCTTCAAGTAAGCAGACGGTTTAACGATAACTATGTGTAGAGACTTGGGCAACCTATGCAAAGGGCGCTGTTTCGTGCGACTGTTGTTCTGCTTCCGATGCTGGGGCTGACATGGGTGTTTGGACTGTTTGCTGTCAACCAGAACACCTCGTGGTTTGCCTGGCTCTTCACCATCTTCAACACACTCCAGGTTAGCTTTTCCTGCACTTTTTTTTGCTTAGGTTCTCTATTACAAAGGCTCTGCAGTTTTAATCAGAATTGCTTCCCCACAGGGTTGCTTCATATTCATTTTTCATGTTGTGCTCAGCGACAAAGTAAGTGCACTGTATAATCTACCTCAGAGCAATAGTGATAAATTTTTGAGGAAAAATAAATTCGGGGAGCCAGTGTGAAATTTCAATTGGGGAACATTAGCTACCACTCAAAAGCCCTCACCTGCAATTCTAATGGGTGGACAAAACTGTGAATTTTGTGGAAGGTTTCCTACCACACAAGCTGGTGCTAGTTGATGAACAGATATGGTACCTGTTTGTCTCTGTGTATATATAGTTTTGGAACAATTCTCATATCAAGAAAATGAGGAGAAGTGTAGCGTCATCGTTGAGGTCATCTCAATTTGGATCCACGGTCTACTCCACCATAAAGAGATCAAGCACAGTATGTTCAACATTTACCTAGGACACCTACAACTCTGTCATATTATTACTCATGTCATGTACTACAGAGGCAAAGCAGTTCAAAGGTTGAGAGATATTCTTCAACTGTGGGTGGTGAGTTGAGATTCTAACTATCCCTTCATTACTACATGCAGTGCTGATGATACATGACACACCCTCTCACCACCCTCAAACACACACACACACAAACACCGTTCACTCAGCTCAATTAGACTCTCTTTCTGAGCCTTCAAGTGATGTGCCAACTGTGAATAAAGACCCTGACAAGCTGGAGGAGAAGACTAAAGCTATGGAAATGGCACCTCTCGATCCCAAAGCTGAACAAAATGTGACAAACTGAAAAAAAACTATTGCACATGCTTTGATGTACATTGATGCTATTGTTTTTTTGAATGATGGTCGAGGTGGAATTGTGGTTCTCAAAATCTGCAGAAGAAACACAGTTTATAGCAAGCTTTGTACCTGTGAGTGTCTCACCTGATTTTGGCAGTGTGTCTTCCCCTCTCCCTGCCAGTGATACAGGGTGTAGCTTACTGCTCTTTGTGCTACTTTTACCGTCAAAAATTCTCCCCAGCCCAACTTTTCCCAGCAACCACTTTCTAACCTGGTAAAATGGTATAGATAGAGATAGCTAGCACACTCTGCTGGAACCATGAGCTGATTGACAAACTTACTCTGTTGTTTCTTAGAATGTGCAGAGCAAATATCATTGTTCCCTATAGGTAAAAGATTTGATTTATTTTAATGGTAGGGTTATCCATCCCATAGCTTGTACATAACAAACACAAGTATTTTCATGCTACCTGTAGAGAATTGAGTAGTGTGAAGGTCCATGCAAAGACGGTGGTATTTCTGTTCACTGCAAACAGTCCAATGATCCATGTGACCCCCAGTAGAGGCAGCAGTACTATGGCAGTCTTGACTGAATTCCTGAACATTTTGTGTGGCAGTATAGCTACTATTCTTCTGTCTAATCGAAGAGTATGGCTTACACGATGAAGCTAGCGCCACTGAGGTTTGCATCTACAGATGCTTTTCTCTTCACACGAACCACACTTATTATCGTCAACACCAAAATCACAGAGTTAACCTGCAATGTAGAATTATGTAGTACCTTTACCATACCTTCATTGAAGATAGATATTATACTGAATGGAATCCTATTAAAGATTAGTGTGCTATAATACGATGTCCTATTGTATTTGTAGCTACATACATACCTAGGAAATTGGAATTACATGTATCAAACAAACACCTACCTCTCAGCAAGCTACAGTAGGGTGTGGGCTAGCTATTACAGTAGCTCACCATGATGACTGCCAGCATTGGTCCTATGAAACTCCATGTCACTCCACTCTGCACACTCAACCAGCAACTGCACAACAAAAAAATTAGGGTATAGCCTTATACACACGGCCCCAATCCTATGTCGTTTTGACCAAAAATCAAAGCAGCTTGATACTCAGGTTTTTTCAATACTTTCAGGTGAGAAACGTACAAATTTGGTGTGCCATAATAGTTGTGTCTCAGTCCAACCGATATAGCAACAATTGGTAGAGGCAGTCCTGTGCACATACAGTTGGGATAGGAATCAGTTCTCTAGATGAATGTGTAGAACAATACCCCATCCAAGAGGAAGGAGGTAGTACCATTTCTTGAAATTGGTGGTGAATGCTCTGACTACCAACACATACAGCAGTATTCCCTCAGCCAACATCCAACAGAAGACACAGAGAAACAGGTAGTGAAGCAGTGCAGCCACTGTGGCACATAGCCACTGAGTGCAAACGAGATCAGGTTAGGCAAAGTTTGTTAGCTAATAATGAAACCTTGATGTGTGTGGCTGTCTCCATGCCAGAGACAAAGAGAATAAGAGCCATCAGGAGAGCCAGGAACAGGTTAAAGTGGATGTACAACAGAACTCCTTTATTAAGAACCTTCCTTTGGATGAGCAAAGCATTGAACTGATAAATTCACGTTTCGATATGTAACTCACCTGAGTACCACCATGAAGAACAGCGTAATTATTAAACTGACAATAGATATGCTGCAGCCTATGTAGCTAACAATGCTCAGAGCCACAGCTTCAGTAGTTACAGCCTACGTTTATGATAAGCTCTCTGTACAACAATCCGAGAGAGAATGTACACACACATACTGGTAGTTGGTTGATACTGACGAGGACGGCAAAGCTGGTGAGGTGTCCTGGATTGACAAGTGTAGTGTGTTTGGTTCTGAGACATCAGTGTCACTCCCTCAGTTGACCACTGACTAAACACAGAAGCCATGGTAGGTTGACAACATCAATCAATTAATTCCCCCACAGGCCCAAAGGAGAATCAAACTGCATTCACCCCTCTGGAGTTCCTGGCTACCCACCTTTGTGTGATGTTCCAGAAGACACACGTGGCGTTATAGAACCCATTACTCTACAGATAAATACACATTCACGGCAGTTACAAACCAGGAAATGTCAGTTACATAAACTTGCATTGTTTATAGCAGGTAAGGAAATCCTGATATCAGTCAACTCTGTTCCACTAATGGCACTCAAGGCTTGCACTGTCATCACATCTGAGTTCACACGTGTACTGCCATAAGAAACACGTGACAAGAATAAAATTACTGATGTTGTATACTTATGATATAATACGTGTTGGTGAAGGCTGTGCTTAACAGAAGTGGTCCAAGGTTTGTGGAAAGAACAGCTGAAATCACTCTTGAGCAGTTGCTAGTTGCTGTGAGAACCAAACGATGCATACAACAAACTCAGAGTCATTCTCTCTGCCAATCAATACTTACACGAAGAACTCCATCCATTTATTCGAAGCGCTGCTTCTTGTGCACCTAGGAGTTGCTTTATTTTATGTTGTGAGCGTATTGAAACAAAGTATTATTACCACTTTGGAGCACTTGTGTGTACTCAGTGGACGACTGATCCTGGCATTCAACATTCATTTCTATTGAATGTTGTAGTTGACAGCGATGTCAGGATGCATGTAAAGATCCGCCATTGAAACATACCCATGTTGCTTCCGTCATATACGAATGGCTGAAGCTGCATTCTAACCATGAGACTCGTACCCATAAGGTAGCAGGTTCTTTCAAGCCTGTCCAGTGTTGCTATACCTGGAGGATTGTCCCCCTATGATATACAGAAAGGAAGGGTTTGTGGACTGTATGACATTATGGTGGTTGCTGTGTTTTCTTAGAGACCTGTTGCAGTTCCATCCACTCTGTTTGTCTGTCATCAGAGAGTAGGTCATCGAACAGGGACATGAGGACCTGTAAAGTGTAGTGGTTATCATAACCGCCTAGCACAGCATGCTTAAGCACACTGAAAAAAAACATGCAGGTTCTGTTTAGCTTCGATGAACAATACCCCCAACAACAATGGAGCTATGTGATATTTCATTAGCAGGTGTGGAGTTGATGAATGGCATCTGTCGAGGGAGAGATATACTTTGGACCTCACGTCAGCTTTGCAAACAAGATAGAGCTAGCTTTAGACAGTCAGTCTCTTTGTCGAACGTGCTGATGCCAGCCACCATGAAAATTGTAGTGAACTGTGCGTGCTATGCAAAGCATTTTAGCAAATTCCATAGACACGACCTTCTCCTCACAGGGGTATATATAGGGCTTTGTGTAACTTTAGTAGCTGCCACATTCCAATCTATGTGCACCTGACTCAAGCTGGGTACGCCAGACTAGGTGATCCCACTACTATAGTCCGAAGGCATTTTGCTTACCTCACTGTTAGTGTCATTGAAGTAAGAAACAGCTGTGTTTTCATCACGTCAATGGAATCATAGAAGCTCCCGTAATAAGCCAGGAGGGTTGACACTGGTTGAGCCAATGTTTTATCTCCTTGTATCTCAGTCATCATCAGTATAGCGGCATCCATGTCATTGCCCTCAAACTCGTCTTCAAGTATACCCTCAATTAGACTCTCCTAAATGAATTGTAAGTGCGATAGCCAACCAGGTAAGAAAGGAATGTGTGGGGTTGATGCATGTCTCTATCTTGTGGTATATAGCATAACAGAAGCTCAGCAGTAACAGTTAATTAAACTAACACAAACGTCTTCCTGGGCGCAATAGGCGGCACACTTTTGAGGCCGTCCGTCCACCCTGTGTCTCCTGCAGTAGTGACTGTGAACTGTGCTGCACATACCACTGCTTCCCTGAGGCCCTCCAGTCAATTGACTTGTTTGATTACTGTTGCCTGTCGATAGGCAATACTGGTGACAGGTTTCCTCAATTTCCAAGAGAAAATTGTGCCTTGCTGGCCGAGACAGACACTGGCAGACTCTCTCTATAACACAGAGAGTACGATTTGAAAGGTTGCCCCTTTCCTCTTCAGTGAGCTCCACTTCATTCACAACGTATGACACTGGGTCATCTTGACTGCTACAGTTGAGACCCAGGCTCTCATGCACTGTCTTGCAGAATCCAGTTGGGAACAGTAATGTTGTAATTGAAGAGGCAAGCACAATCGAAATCCTCCTCACAATTTCCATCTGAAAGGAGATTTTCACATTGGAGACTATAATATAGCTCACGTAGCCATGTCGCACACGTACCGCTTAGTTCCACGCACTGCGAGTGAGATGTCTGCGGGAGATTGCACCCGAGGAGTAGAAGGAATACTACTGCTGCTACAGCCATGACTATAGAACTGCCGTCTTTGATCGAGACGTTACCACCGATGATGCGCATGCGCATAGAGTATCAATTCGGCGCGGGGGAACGCAACCCGTCTTGAAATCGCGTGGGTGTGCGAACGGTATAAAACAAAGAAAGAATAGTGGATGCAAACACCTTACGATACACACAGCTAGTCAGGCACACTACTACTACTTTTGCTGAAGTCTACCGTAAAGTTCTGGCATTCATAGTCATTACTGATAGTTCCCTGGATACTGGCTGAGGACCCATTCATCTGAATTCCTATATAATTATAAGAAAAATATTAATGTCAATAAGTGGTACAGTTCGTATTCCCACTGTGCTTGCTTAAACGTGCCTCTGCACACTTGCCATGTGCCAAAAACTAATGCACATTTACAAAATCTTACAAAGTTAATTGACAAGCAAAGCAAGCCAAACTACGTGTCTGTATAGACTCAGATGAATGTTGATGTTTCAACAGCCAAACAGTATAGCTACACTAAAACTCAATATCAATCGTACACGCTATATATCCTAGTGAGTATGTTCCAGAATGTTCTATGCACGTGTTCTATCACGTGGCGAAGGTCGAGAGGTCGCCACATGTCAATTGCACGGGTTTCTAGCCAATCTAAGAGCACACCTGAGTGACTTTTCCAGCTGGGTGAGATGTCTCCATTGCTGGGACAACCACTTGGCATTGAGACTGGTGCACCTTCTCTCTTGTCAGTACTGGTGTACTGAAGAAGAAGGATAATGAATGAACCACAGAGTCATGGTTAGTATAGCCACACTGCTGAGCTCTGTGTACATACCTCAGTTGAGGAAGAATAATTGCTCTTCTCTGATTGTACTATGAGACCACACCTTCTGCCCATTTTACTCCGCAGCTATTATACATACAACACACACACCATAATAGATTTTAATCGCTCGATAATTGATTCGTTTGTTCAATTTAAACATACCTTTCTGTTTCTTAGGATATGGAGCACAAATATCATTAAACCCTGCATTGATTTCTGGAGTGAATTCTTTATTGCACTGTGGTATTTTGTAGCTACCTGTAGGGAATTGAGTATTGTGAAGATCCAGGCGAAGACAGTTGTGTTTTGTTCCACAGCAAATACTCCAATGATCCATGTGATCCCCAGAAGTGGCAGTAGCACTATGGCACTCTTGGCTGAAGTCCTGCATAGAAAAGGGCATCCCCAATAAGCTTTGAGTTTGAGCCACACCCATATTTAATGGGTGTCTTACAAGATGATGTCTGTATGGTTCTTGGATCCTGTGCCCTTGGAAGCCTTACTCCGGACTCGTGCTATGCTGACCATAGTCAGTACCAGAATGACTGAGTTCACCTGTGACAGAGTTAAGTAAACATTGAAGCACCGTACAAAGAACAAGAATAACAAAGGAAGGAAGCTTGCACTGTGTAGTGTAAACCCTAATGTAAGCAAGGACAGATGCGCTCGCTTGGCACATGTTATCAGTAAAAGTGAACGGCAAATACAGTACTGTATATACCAAGATGATGGCCAGCATGGGACCAACAAAACTCCAAACAAGTCCCTTGTCATGACTTAGCCAGCAGCTGCAGCAGAGAAGTTACCATGAATAGGAGCTTATTATACCGAGTCATGTAGCTTACTAGTTGTTGTTGCCGTAATACTCATATCTGAGTCCCAGAGAAATAGCAACAATGAATAGCGGAGTACCTGTTTTCATTAGATAGATGATACAAACAACATTGAACTATAAGCAATTGTGATTTACCCCATCCAAAAGGAAGGAGGTAGTACCACTTCTTGAAGTTGGTGGTGAATGCTCTGACTACCAACACATACAGCAGTATTCCCTCAGCCAACATCCAACAGAAGACACAGAGAAACAGGTAGTGGAGCAGTGCAGCCACTGTGGCACATAGCCACTGTGTCCGAATGAGAGAGATAAGTGAAGTTCCATTATTGTGTTAAACAATAATGAAACCTTGATGTGTGTGGCTGTCTCAATGCCAAAGACAAAGATAATGAGTGCCAACAGCAGGGCCAGGAACAGGTTAAAGTGAATGTACAACAGAACTCCTTTATTTAGTGTCTCCCTGCCATGTACGGAAATATTTCCTGTAAGATATTCCGAGAATGAATCTTTACAGTAGGAGTACCTGAATACCACCATGCACAGCAGCGTCAGCAGGATGCAAATGATAGAGATGCCACAGCCCAGGTAGGTTACACCACTCAGAGCCATAGCTTCAGTTTCTGACATTCCCTGCAGAAAGCAAAGCGTCTCGTATTATTCTATAGAACTAGTAGTCTGTAGTACGGCACCATTTACGTATGTCGAGTTCTGACACACTGCTATAACATAAGCCCCTAGTGATGTGGTCTGTGAGGCTAGATACATGCCATAATTTCCTCAAAAAACTTGCTATACCTCCCACCTGAACTCCTGAAATCCCAACAAATTCCTGGAGATAGCCTATACTAGTTATGTTGATACATAAGCCGAGCTCACTCACTAGTATTGTGTTGAAGGCAAGTCAACTAAACCCAGCAATGACATCTAAACAGCTTAGTTTGTGATGGTAAACAGTGGGTGTGCACAACATAGTTGCTATCCCAGTGCAAGCCAAAATATAGTTAGCTAAATGGTGCACAACCTCCCAATCTTTCCTGAACACTATATACAGAACACCCAACTCCCAACAGCACCCATGTGCATCAACGCTTTTAGCTGCTACATTTCCTATGCTCATGGTACACAGTAAGCAAACATGCAAACATGTACGAGTTACCAAAATGAATAAGCACAGATACTGCATGCACAATTTTGTCCTGTGATCATAATTAAGATACCTCTAGGGGTTTGACATTGACAAGCACAGCGAAGCTGGAGAGGTGAGTGGAGCGACAGACGTAGTGTGTTTCAGTCACACTCACTAGCTCAACTCCTTCAGTAGACCACTGACTGTGAAACAACAAAACATTCTCTGAATTCTTCTATCTGGTCCATGGTATGTATACCTTTGGTTTGTATTCCAGAAAACACAGTCCACGGGGATACTTGACAAATTTCCACTCTGAAAGAATGGTACCAAGTAAATCCCTGCCTGCGGAGAAGAGCTGCAAAATATCTAACCATGTTGAGTGAGGGTAAGCTGATTGTGATATCTGAGAGTTTGTTTCCCTGTACTGCCTCCATTGTCTGTACAGTCATAACGTCAGTGTCCACCATCGTGTTGGAACTGAAGGCAGTGAAATCAGTAAGTAGGACTTTCAATGCTTACGCTTACTCATTTGAAACAAATTCTCCAAGATTTGAGGACAGAGAAGCTGCAATTACTCTCGAGCAATATTTGTCTCCTAAATGTAAGAGTTTTGATGACACAATCTGCTTTAATAACCAATCACCTTGGCTATTTGTTTCTGGTACAGAAAGAGCTGCTTTATCTAGACCTGTTAACAATGGAGAATTTTGCTAGTGTAATTCACACTTACAGTATACATTACGCATTCTTGCACACTATGAGAGGGCTGCTTACCTCTGTTGAACACATACTCATATTCTTTGTTATCTTGACACTCCACATTCATTTCTGCAGGAGATTTCAAAATCTTTAAATAGCTGTCATGGTTCCATGTATTAATCTCTTATTAACCACATTCCATACTTAGATCTCTCGGTTACCTGAGCTAACCTGGTAGCTTTATAGCTCAGTAGCAAAAGGAGCTGCTAAGAGAGTTACAATACCTGGCTAGCTCAACTCTCAACTATATCTCTTCATGGATTTTAACTCAACCTCGGGCAGCTTAAAAAGTTCTAAGTTACACCTAACTGTATAATGGTAAGTTACCAATGTTGCTGCCAATGTAGTGGAAGTGGTCCAGCAGCTGGATGTCGAGTGATTGTAGCTGGTGACTCATCCCCAGGAGATGCACTGTTGTCTCAATCCTCTCGAGTACTTCCTGCCCTGGCTCACCCTCCTGTGATATTATAACTAATGTGATATATAAAACCAACTTATTGCTGTGAAATGTTAGTGAATGAGGTCGGCCTAGGTGTATGGCACATTGAAACCAAGTTTATTAATTTTTTGTGAAAAATTTGCAGAAGTTGATTGTACTATATGTAATCTGGTCAAGGACGTGCACAATGTGTGCTTCAGTGTATGTGTGTGCTGTCACTATCACCTGCTAATCTTCCATCACAGAGGATTGTGTATTGCAAGTGCAGTATAGTTATGGCTAAGGGTATGGGAAGGTGCAGGTGGTGTGGATTGTAATGGATGCCGGTGTGTGTGAAAGTTATAGAATATTGCAAAACTGTACCACTAACTTATCGAGAAAGTGCCACCTCCTTTTTGTACAGTAACTTGGATAAAAGGTGCTTGAAAATTACCCGTTGTAACTCTGCCCACTCTTCCTGTCGTTCGTCCGAGAGAAGATCATCGAAGAGTGACACCAAATTCTGCACAAGTGACATTGTAGTTAAAGTGAATCTTTTTACTTGAAGCTAACTAGTTTCCCTTTATGTGAGCTCTTTTTTTAAATCACAAAAATTATTGTGAACTCTAACTCACTTGACTATTGTTGTTGTTTAGGTGAGAGATGACTGCATTTGAGTTGCTCTCAATGACTCTATAGAAGCTGCCATGGGCCATGAGGATGTCTCTAGCTGGCAACCTGTGAGCTCCCTGCCCACGAAACTCCATCATTACTGCAACTGCAGCATCCAGGTCACTTCCCTCAAACTCTCCTTCCAAGATCCCTTCAATTAATGTCGGCTGTGTTTTTTTAATAATATCGTGGACATTTTTAACTGCATAGACATATAGGGTTTTAGGGACAATCCATGCACAGCAGAAGTGTGACACTGGTGCCATACAATAATGCCAACTGAATCCTTTGTGGAATGTATTATGCCAATACATTCCACAAAGGATTCAGTCTTGTGCATGTGTATTAGCATTACACTCACGGAAACATAACGTCCCTAATGAGTACGTAACTATGCAGACCTTATGTAGTTAAAAGGAAGACATATGCCAGGAAGCTAAACATAGCTAGAAGCTACGTGTGTGTGTTCATCTTTCAGTGTCAGTGTCTTTCCGACAGCAACAGTACACACAGTATGGATACCAATATACTTACACAGTTGTCCTGTAGCCTGCACTCTCTGGCACAGTCAACACTTCTTCCACTCATCGTGTGTCTTCTACAGTAATGGCCATGGACTGAGTTACAAACGCCCATGTCTCCACTAAGTGAACCCATCATAGGTGGTGAACCCATCACAGGTGGTGAACCCATCATAGGTAGTGAACCCATCATAGGTCGTGAATTTTCACTGGACGAGTGGGCATCACGCACAACTGGCGGCATTGCTCCTCTATGTCGATAAGCCTGTTGTGCTTTGCTCTCCTAGAGAGACAGTGGCAGATTCTCCGCGACAAACACAGTGTCATATTCGTAATTTCGTTGGTCGTCGTTGTTTCGTTGAGTAAGTTCAGTACAAACTCGATAGGACCGTCCGGGCTACTGCAGTTGAGCCCCAAGTTCAATTGTGCACTGACGCAGTGTCCATTGGTGCAGTTACCACTGTTAAAGAGGCATCGACACTCACCGCACATGCTCTTCCTTGTTATTCTCAGGTGGACCAAGTCTTTTACATTCTTGACAACGGCTCTCTTCATCGCAAACAGTTATTATACCACTAAAATTATATACAAACACTATGAAAAAACGTACCTGACTGCAGCTCGCACTTGGTCGGAGCGACGACCGGACTCGGGATTGGACAAGAAGTCTTTGACATACACAGAGCCGTGTGAAACGGCACAAGTAGCAGAAAGAGAAGGAGCATGATGTTGTTGCGGTAGACTAACTAGAGCGGCTCATTTTGTGCGGAGCAGTAGATTTTCCGCGCGTGATGGCAGCGCGGAGGCACGCCTCTCCTCTCCGTGGCGGTCGTCGCCAGGCGGTACGTCACCAGTACACACACGAGTCGGGATTGGTCAATTATGCGCATGAGCAGTGCGCATGCACATGATGAGGGCACGCAATAATATCCGCCCGTTCGCACTGCCGTCGGTTGAGAACGCCATCTGTACGTCTTTGGAAAGATCTGCTTGGGTTGGTGTCTGGCTGTGCTGCTCCTTGGTTCTTATCGTTTGTGCAGACCATAGTCGGTGAGTTTCAAGTGTAGCTATATAGAATGTGTGCATGTGGTATATACTAACTAGTGCCTTGGTCGCCTCTGAAATAGTCCGGGGATTGTTATCTGTCCGTGATATGCTAGGATGATAGGATCTGCGTGTTTGCCATGCAGTTGAGAGACAATATTATATACTATGGCATTAGTCGTCGTTCTGAAGCATAGGAAAATCTGCAGCATTTAAAAATTCATTTTAGGGGAAAGGGCTGTTAATCTAGCATATTAAATCTTCCATGTGATATTTTCACTGAAAAACTGTATCTCCACTGGTCTTCAAGACATCAACACATTAGGTCACACATTAGTCATGCATGGATGGGCGTTGGGGAAGTTTAGTACTATACAACTTACCTTTGTTGGGGATTCACGTGTGAACTCCCAAGGGTGAATAGCGTGTCTGTAGTACTATATAGTTCTAACCATAATATTTCCCCTACACAGAGTTGAGGTTTTATCTAATCTCCTTTTAGATTTTATCTGATCTCCTTATATATACTTACTTGTGGTACTTTGAACTATCAAAGCAAGCTTATATAATACATACCAACCATTACAGGGGTTCTTGTTATGGCTACTAATCACTCAATTTTTCAGTTTAGCATAGATGGCTGAGAACGAAGGGGGCAAGAAAGGAGGCAAAGAAGGAAAAGGAGGAAAAGGGGGAAAAGGAGGTAAAGGAGGAGGGGGAGGAGGTGCTAAGCCAAAGTTGCCTGAGCTGCTCAAATCAGATGACTTCACAGGCCAGTACAAGGAGGGGACTGTGGTACTGAGAACTGACATGCCCGATCCCTACCAGCAGGCCTACAACAAAGCATGGATCGTGAGTTTAATGTACTCGAACCTGTGCAGTATCTTCACAATGGGAATACAACTGCAGTTCTAGTCTGTCATTATGTTCTATAGAATAGCCTGCTAGTAGTAGTTGCAAGCGTCAGTCTTTTGCTTGAATTGTTTGAACAGTGTACAGTGTGTAGCTGTCACATCTGCGTAGGATGCAGGACACCCAGACAGTATATATATATATATAATGTCATTTTGCTCTTCCTAGTTATGTACACAATTTTTGTTTTTCACATGCAAGTATAGTAATTGTTAAAGTGGTGGATGATTAAGTCCCCGATAATTCACACTCGTGCTCACTCACCAATAATCAGTTGTATGTATCACTGTGTGTAGGCGGTGAGAATGAACAAGGAGAAGCAGTTCAAAGAGGCAGTGGATAAGCTGATAGAAACCTCACAGGGGACAACAGCTGAGGCCGCGCCACTCGATGTCCACTGTACCAAGGTCAAGATCACATTTGGAGACGTGGAAAAGAAGGTGGAGCTCAAGATGTGTCTCCTGGCCTTTTGTGGCTTCCACGGCCGACTGGATTTCGCCAATTACCTCATCGAGAGAGGAGCCAGTTAGTTCTCCTCACTCATTTACTCCAGTGTATTATGCCTAGAATGAACACGATGCCTGTGCAGTAGAAGAATATATAGGTAAGGTTGCATTATGCTTTATTGATGGTATCTACTTGATTCTCAGGTATTGACTCTGGGGACATGGAGGTGGGGTCACCACTGCTCCAGATGATGGTGATGCACGATGCCAGATGTGGGTCCAGCTCTCTCTCCATAGACACTCTCCGGTTCTTCACTGAGGACCACCCCTCTGTGCTCAGCAGGATCATCTCCACCGGTGATAAGTCAGTATATCACGGCAGTGTATAATATACACTGCAATTTGCTTACCGGCAGTTACTTATTTATGATACATGCCACTACATTGCACATATATACTCCTTATCTGCACGATGCTGACAAGAAAGTGTAAGACTGAAGGAAAAGCAGCGAAATTTTTAGAAAAAACATTGTCCTTATATTATACATCACTCCTTATTTTGTATTGTGAATACACCAAAATTAATGAAGTTTCGTCTTGTTCCCCCCATTTGTTTCCTCCCTTTCTCAAACAGTCCAAAAACTCTCACAAAGGCGACAGTTTTGACAGTGGCCCTGCACATGAAGAGACAGGATATTGCCCAGTACTTCTTCAAGGAGCACAAGCTCCACCCAGTGTTCTGTGGCAGTAGAGACTACCCTTCTCTGTTCCTGGAGTACATAGAGTATGGCACGTTTGAGTTCATCCCCTGGCTATTCACTGAAGGGTGAGTAGTATATACCCCTACTGCTGACCTATAGCGGGTGACAATAGGGGTACTGTCTTTTGCTCTATAGTTGGTGACAATGTACAATACAATGGGCTTTCGCATATGAACAAGGAGCACTGCAATAGTCCACGATCCATAGAGAAACCTGATGATTAAGATTACCCATGAAAACCACAAGAATTTGACAATATGCAGTTGTGATATTGTCAATGAAATTCATGGTTCGTCTGCTAAATGCCAATTTTCTCTCTACGATCTCTTGTACTGTAGGTTTAAAAGTTATGTATGCAATGGTGGTTCTTTTGTCTACATCCAGCTATGACACGAAGGAGGAGATTGATCGGTTCACCGATGAGATGTTCCAGCCCGAGATCATGAGGGCGGGGCTTGGTGAGGATGGGAAGCCACGCACTGGCAGTCTCACCGAGAGTGCGGACAGGAATGACCGCTGCGTGGCCCATGCCATGCTCCTGTGTGCCAACCGCAGGGGTGTCAACATGCTCATCAAGAAACGACCCGACCTCATTGGGGTGAACATACTCTATACATATCTGTTACATGAAGTGTGTATCTTCCCATTGTGTGTATGTATCTGAGCCATGTTTGTACACTGTGCCTTGTTTTGCGCAGTTTTTCACTAACAGTAGGCCCGCACATGACTATTCTGTATGCATAGCAACAGTCAACTGGGCCATAGAACAGTTGCGTTAGGTTTGCCCTTGTCTTGTTCTGTATTTCAAACCCTATCTGTTGAGTTGCCCAGGTAGCTCAGCTGGTCGAGTGCAGAATGTCATGGGTTTGATTCCCATCCAAGCACCACACATGTGTATAATCCTTGCAGGAGTGTGACGGACTAGGTACGCTGCTTCAGGTTAGCTCCACTGTACTGCACACACCGTAGGACACTGGGTCATCTTGACTGCTACAGCTGAAGATACAGGCTCTCATGCACTGTCTTGCAGATCCCGTGAGAGACAGTAGTGTTGCTAATGTGAAGAGGACAAGCACACATCGGAGTTCTTTGACACATCCTCTCCAATTTCGCATCTGAAAGGAGAATTGTCACATTGAGAGACTATCTATATAAGCTCACGTACGTAGCCATGTCGCACAGGTACCGCTTAGTTCCACCATGCGCGTGAGATGTTGAGGGAGATTGCACCGTGGAGTCGAAGGATCACTACTCTTGCTACAGCCATTGACTATAGAAACTACCGTCGTTGATCGAGGACGTTGACCACCAGATGCGCATGCGCATTAGGTTATCAAATTCGGCGCGGGGGGGGGAAAGCAACCGTCCTTGAAGCGAGGGGGTGTGCGAACGGTA